AATTTGAAAAAAAAAAATTTGACCGACAAATAAGTGGAATGTCCCTTTAAATCTGAGTAGAAAGTGATAAAAACATGACACATTTTTATACGCCCACATAGAAATGTGGACGTATATTGCCGTTGGTCCGTCAACATTTCTTGTGAACACAATAGAGACTACAGTGTTTATCTGATTTTAATGAAACTTAATGGTCAACTTGGCCAACGATTTTCAACGATTTCACTCATAACAATTTTTTTGCCCTTGATATCAGAGCTGTGTGATTTAATAATTTGATGTATTTGCCAATAGGATATTGATTTTGATTTTAAAAAATTTTGTGGAATTAATAGTATTTATAAATATGTATATCATTGAATTTAAACTAATAAAATTTCTTTTATATGAAAAAATCTGTACCTCAGTCACTATAGACTGTTTTATCATTTTGCCTGGCAAGCTATCTTTAATAGAAAGTATCAGAATTTTTAATGATATTTTTAGTGGTTAAAGTTCCTGAGGTTAAATAATGAAATTTCTGGAATCTTGTTCTTGAAACTGATAACAAATCTATTGAATCTACATAAAACGGTTGGTATAATTGTTGAAAGGTTAAAAACTAAAACCAGTATAATTGGATTGTTTGTCTTGAGTAAAACCACTTGTATTTATTCAATACTAATGAAGTTGAATGAAGTGGAGTATAATTCTGACTATATATAGATATTGTTTAAATATAAAACTAATATTTGTAATCAATGATCCTAAAATGTCATTATGAACATTAGGCTTGATTACATTTGTTGTTTCCATGCTTCAGTAATACGAGATGTAATAGATTGATATTGATATCCACCATGTATATTGATGTTACAGTATAACAGTTTTTGTCTTGTAAGATTGCCTGATATATATCTGATTTATTGCTATCTTATATTCTAACAAATTCTATCTCGATAAACATTCAATTATTTCTAACCGACAAGCACTGATAAGAGAATTTGAATGTATTATAGCATCACATATACGAACATTGTAAATATATCTGGTTACTGTTAGGCAGTTGTAATGAATTATTAGAATTTATAAGCCCAGTTTACATTAGAATGCTACGAAGTGTTCTGCTGATAGTCTATACTTGGACCTGAAAAAATATAAAATTTTTACCATTTACGCTACTACAATTTTGAGCGTTCCGAGAACAATTCTATAACAAAAGTGTAAATGATTTATTGTTCTCAGACACATTTTAATTGAACTCTTTACGAAAGAGTTAATTTTAGACGTTCTGATAACCTAGATGAAGGCAACTTCGTCTGCTCACAGACACTGCAGAACATGTCAAGACGCATAGGTAAGAACTGTTCTCGGAACGCTTAACCGTTTACACTACCAAATATTAACTGTTACTGAGAACTGTTCCGAGATCACCTTGCCCAAGTAGTCTCAAATTGAAACTGTTCTCCGAACGCTCGACCGTTTACACTAGTAATTTTTCATCTGTTCCGTTCTCGGAATTCTTCTCAGAACAGATAATTTTTGTAATGTAAACAGGGTTTTAGTAAGATAAATAGTTAAAATTAAAATTCAGATTTAGATTTTTGTGTGGTAGATTAATGATCTGACAAAATTGTTATATGCAGCACATGTTCTGTTTTTGCACATTCATTGTAAATTGTATTTTGCAAATTATTTTGTAAGAATTGCAATATCAGCTTCCAATGAGTTTTTCTCAGCATGACTTTGCATTAATATAAAAAAATATATAAATCAAATCAGTAAGCTCTAAGTTCTGTTTTGGAGCTGATATTTGAATTCACTTAAAATATTTCAACATACCAATGAAAGTGTAAGGTAGGCAGTCATTGGAAAATTAAAGGTTTTAATCAATTAAAGGTTTAATAACTCGATTGTGAGGAATTCTTCAGTGTTCAGCGTTCACTTAGAATGTTAGCCCACATTTTGCAGCGTGCTTGGTTACATCTTATGACAGCTTCTGACATGTTTGGGACAGAATTTGACAGAACATAAGGACAAATTGAATTAATAAAGGAAGATTTATATTGAGGAAAGAAAATGATTATATTTCATATGGAAAATAAAATCTTTATTTAACCTTAAAAGAAATTCTACATCATTCATTCAATGTAAGAGAAACTATGTCATGATGTAATGAAGTACAAATTGAAAGTCTGAGAATTTAGCTATGTTAATCAGTCATTTCATTTCTCTGGTTATTTTTACTTAATACATAAAAATTCTAGTAATTCTTCTGAGCTTCTAATATCAATACCAGTAACTTTAAGGGGTTAAAACAAATTTGAATGTTTGGTGGACGGGTAGCCTATTAAAGGGACAGGTGCCATTTTGGAGGGGTTGATTTTAGTCTTGAATATATGTAAATAGTCTTCAGAAGTACTAGAAATGTACGAAAATCACATTATTCTTTTGACAAATACTTCAAACCTGGAAATTTACTCTATATATGTTTTTTCTATGACAGATTATCTTAAATTGATGAATCGTCATTTAAACATTCAAATGCAGATAATTCAATATACACATGGAATTGAAGGCTCGAATTTCGACAGTGAGCTGTGAACACTATTAGTATTACTGATTATCTCAGTTCAAAAAAAATTCCAGTCTCTGAGACTAAAGTATGATTGGTTAAATAAATGGCCTTTCTGTCCCTTTAAAGAGATATATGATGCATAAATTGTCTGATTACTAAGAGTTAAAACATGTCGTTGAACAATGTTTGAAATTAGAATACAAATGATTTTAACTGTGAGAGGTGTCTATTGCCAATTGCATGTTTTATTTCTATATAGCTTAGTGCTTTTCTCATTATGATAGAAATTCCATACTGTAGCAGACTTGTTAATCAGCTTTTTCTCTCTTGTTGATCGAATTTCTCATTATGTTCTTTCTGTTTTGTTATTAAATTCTCATTGTTTGTATTGTATCATTTTAGATATATATACAATATTTAGATCTGTGACTGAATTTCTTTGTGATTAAATCTAGATTTTTTTCAGAGATTTCAGTTATAAAAAAAAACTAGGTTGATGCCAAGTATTTTGAAAATGTAATAGTCAACTCAAGTCTGAAATAAAAAGATATGAGATGCAGGGCTTATATTGGCATCACTCATGTTGGTTTGTCGGTCCGTCCACAATTACACAAACGTTCTATTAGGCACAATTCTTGCTCCATGAATTTTGATGAAACTTGATGTGAGTGTTTGTCATCACCTAGGGATGAATCCTATTTAAAATCAGAAAAATTGAAAAATATTTAATTGTCATTGCCCTTGTTCTTGAAAACAAAACTTGAGATATGTGACCAGTGGTAAGATTTTATTGTACAATCTTGAGCTATGTCCTTTGTAGAAAAGATTAAAAAATTGTAAGCTTATTGATCCTCTTGCTTTCTGCCAGACAAAAGATAAACCCTTGATGAAATTCTCATCTTTCACGTTCATTATCTTGAATCATGCATATTCAGAAAGGTAAATAAATTGACTTCATATGCATGTTATCTCTTTGATTTTAAACTTTGTTTAACCTAGTATCATTATTTACTTAAAATTAAAAATTGTCTGACAGTTTCAATTTCAAGAAGTTGATGCTATCATCAGTTTAAAATGATAAGATATAAGGTTGAGTGATCAGAGCAATCACAGAGAAAATTGGTAGCTATTAAATTCACATCAATATGATATTTACTGTCACTAAAAACTGACAGAATGAAATCAAAGTATCAGACTGAAGTCTTTGATCAATAGTTTACTCTATTGATTACTTCTTGGTAGAAAAAAATCTCTATTGGACTAATTAAATTGAAAGTTTGACAGTACAAAACAAAGTAACAAGACAACAATGTGGTAGTTGATGACATTTGAAATATTCTGTATTGCAAAATATGCACTGTAGATAGTATTCCACTGGACAAGTAGACATGTTGTTCTCAAGTCAGCAATATTGACCTAAAGCAATGACAATGGGAAATTGGTTTGAAATACTGTCTCAACCTATGCCATGATTGAACCTGGTTTGATTTCCTGCAAGCAACAAATCACTGAGCCATTACAGGTCCTCCACATTTCAAAGTTAACATATTCTTTAAAGTTAACCTGTCTTTATATTTTGCTTTATCATCAAAGAGAGCTCAATTTCGATAAAAGCTGAAATTATTAGATTGTCCTCACTTCCAATCAATCTCTAATATTTAATTAGAGAAAAATTTCTTAAACAATTTTTTATTGTCTGCATTGCAATTACAAGTAAGTTTTCTACCACAGTCCTGTTCTGATGACATTATTTTTGAAACAGTCACTGAATTTCAGTTAGCAGATAAGCCTAGGGTTTCGGACCAGTATTTTATCTGACTTGGAATTAGTTACAGATCATGGTATTATTTCCTAAAATAACTTGTCTCTGTTTCTCATAGACCATGTTGACAGCTAAGAATTACCATCTCCAAGACTTAACACTGTCTTAACTTGTCAGTGTATGAACTATCTATCTTCCTTCACAATATATGATAGATTATGAGAAAAAGATGGTCTATCTAAATGATTAGTACAAAATGTTACTTGCTACCAGATAGAAAACTCTTTGATAGTCCTAATGATTACCACTTCTCTTGGGGGTATAAATAGAGAAAGACAGTACAAGATACTTTTGTGAATCAGTGAGCCAGAAAAGGTGTATAATCAGAGACTCAATGGCTAATGATATTTATTTAGTTAGGAAACACCCTGAAAAACTGGAAAATATTTATATATAAAGAGAATTCAATATATGCCAACCTGCTCGAGTGTAGAACTCTTTCTGTAAACATTTTGGTAAATTGCACTTGATTTGGCCGCAATAAGCTTATGAATAAGTTTAAAAGTATGATTTTTTAAACAACTCAAAGCTGTAATGAAATTTGGTGATGTATGAATATATAAATGACCCAACCCTATTCCATTTGCAAATAGTTGTATCTTAAAAATGGTATATTTTCAGTAACAACTACACATGAAGATGCTGAAACAATGGATGATGTTAAAACGTTAGTTTCACAACTGTATTCTGCATTAAATATAGAACAACATCAATTACAAACGGAGAAAGAATTAGTAGCCAAGTTAGAAGATTTGAAAGTACAAATAGAACCATTAGAAAAAGTATGTACTACCTAGTTAAAAAGCTAATATTTGTATATTTCTGAAAGGTAAACATTACTTCCAAAACAGTGAATGTTAATTCAATTACTATTGGTTCCTTTTCAAAATATTTAACTGTTAGTTTTATGTTTTGAAATTTACTGGATGTGCCAAGACTGTATAGTATGAAAAGATTTACAAAATTATTTATAAGTTTTATAATTTTAAAATGGGAAAAGTTAGTCTGGTCTTAGTTGAATTCACATGGTTTCAGTTGTTCAGACTATACTATACCAGTGATAGTAATAAAAGTGATTATATTAAGTATTCTCAGTACAATACAGTAATCAATATGGCTCTGTATTATTTATTAAGACTTATTCATTATTGTTCCATGCTTATATTAATTACTCTACCATTACTTTATGAAAATTAAATTTAGCTAATCATTTTTGCATACACAGTATGTGGGCTGGGGTAATCTTCACACAGACATTTATATATTGGTTGGCCCAGAATACAACACCTTGGCATATATCTTGTTAGATTAGATGGAGACCGACAAATTGATAACGAACCAAAATAGTTATCTAATTTTAATTAGATCATGACACTGAATGAATAATGCTAAAATGAAAAATGTTATCGGTTTTTTTTTTGGGCCACCCATTATATAATTATATTGTCTTTTTAACCTTCATTCGATAAAAAACTCATTTCAAGCATCACTTTTAAATTGTAACATATAGCTATTATTCAGAAAAAGAATGGAAGCTGATTAAATTTCCATCCTATTCCTTAAACATTTTACAACCTTATACAAATGTTCTGTTTTCTCTAAGAAGCTTTTAATGACCTGGACATATGTGTATATGTCTTTCATATCTAATACTTTTATACCCCTCTATTGTAATACTGCAATACCATTCAATATCATTGTGGTTGCTTTATATATAAGCTTATTCTATAGGTTATTGTTAAGGAGTAGTTCTTTCCTTTCATTTAAAGAACAGAAGTAAAAGTATTAGAAGAAACCTTGAATACATAAACCTACTTATACAGAAATGTCTATCTGTAGCTAGTTATATTGTTCAGTAATGATATTCTCATGATACTTATTTATATAGATATCTTATCTTCCAATTACTTCAGGTTGATTTCAAATACCACTCATCATATAAGGGAAGGTAAAGGATATATGTTGAGAGCAACTATATTTCCATGACTGCCAGCATCTCAAACCAGAAATTTTGAAATTGTCCATGTTGCTTTTGAATTTGAACACTAGAATGAAATACGGTAGCGAAATTCTTGAAATATGGATCATTTTTAATGCAGTAGCTGACTGTCAAGGTGGAAGACCTTGTGGACTATATTGTGATGTGTGAGAAACTTAAAGGAGCATTCTGTTTTTTTTTTGTATGTCAAAAATTTTGTTGGCTCAAATTTGTGAAAACTATACACCAAAATCTAGAGAAATTTGTCCCTTAACAACTGAAAAAATCCAGCCATTAATTTGTTGACGCCAAAACTATTTAAAAAGTTTATGCAAGCTTACGTAAAATTTAAAAGTTCTTTATGGTTTTTAGAAGCTGCTAGAACTACTATGCGGATTTAAATAAAATAAACGCCTAATTGTAGAGAAATATGTCTCCTACTCATTCTAAATTTCAACTAAATATATTGAGCCATTATAAAGACAAACACCAAAACTAGGTCAAACTGCTTAATAAACAATTACAAGTATTCTCCCTTTTTAATTAACTCTTTTAAAACCAATTTAGTGAGATCAAGTAGATACATAGATATAAATAGGATACCTAAAGAACATGTTCTAGTATAATTTACAATGTTTTTGATATTGAGAATTTATGCATACTGCCCCTTTAATGATAGAACCACTTTATGTTTGATATGTTTACTGATCCCTGATAAATATATATAATACTTGTTATGTTTCAGACAAAAGATGAATTAGTACAACAGTCGGGTCAATTTACCCGTGGGTTAATCTGGGTAGGATGTGGATTTATGGCAGTACAATTTGGTATCTTAGCTAGATTAACATGGTGGGATTATTCCTGGGATATTATGGAACCTGTTACATACTTTATTACATATGGTACTTCTATTGCCATGTTTGCTTACTTTGTTTTATGTAAACATGTAAGTAGCATATATTTTCTCAATGTAAATTGGTGGTATATTGCCATCACCTCTGTCCTTCCACAATATTCTAGTGAGCGTGACAGAGGCTACAATTCTCTCCTCTTATGAAATTTTATGTTTGGGGTTATAAGATTCACAACATCTCGTACAAGTTTGAATTTGAGTAAGATTCAGCAAATCATGAAGGATTTTCAACCCTTGAGCATTCTTCTGAATGATCAGTGTGTGTATGATTTGTTTTTATTTTTCAGGAATGTAATTACGGTGAAGTGAAAGACAGACAGTTTTTGTTAAAGTTCTATAAAGAAGCCCAGAAAAAGAATTTTGATATAAAAAAATATAATGATTTAAAAAATAATATAGCAATAATTGAATCAGATATACAACGTTTACGTGATCCTTTACAGTTACACCTTCCATTACAAGAATTAAAGAGGATTAAAGGCTAATCTATCTGTAAATTATGTTGAATAATGAAATAGAAATTGATAGACATCAGAGTGTTGATACTCAAGGAGCTAGAAGATCAAATACTGAAAGAATTAAGATTCAGAATTGAAGTTTATTCTACGTTTAAAAGGGCTTTCTTGGGTACTGCTGAATACATATTTGAAAATTGTGGGAAAGGATTGACTTCAGTCTCATATTTAAGAGGTGCCATATCCCCTTTGGTAGAAAAAAATGAAAAAGTTATTTTACTTTCACTGCCAAAATCTTGTTGGATGCATTTTCGGTCTTCCTAGATTAGAAATTTTTCCCAGACCCCACAACGCAACCAGTAAGGGTATTCAGGGTGCAGAGTGATGTACATCATTTGAAATTATATAGGAAATGATTTGACAATAATGCAATCACCTAGCAGGACTTCATTTGGCTGCCATGTCTTGTTAGACTTCCAAAATATTAAATTTTAATTTTTATGAAAATATGTATCAACATAGGAAGTCAGTTTTTTTAAGGATTTTTCAAATATTGACTTGATAATCAGAATTAGGGTGCTAAAATGTTTTTCTGGGAAAATATCAAATTAAAGCCCCATGAAAGCAAAATATATACCAGATATGCTTTCACAATGTGTATTAAATTCTATTTCATTATTGATAAAACACCCAATTTTTATAGAAATATTTCTTTGTATATAACTGGTGATATTCAATAGAAATTCCATTTATATTTGAACATCAAATGGAAAGATAATATCAAGTTAACAATACAAAAGCATACACCTTTTTGTTTGAACATAACTATATAAAAATAACTTTCTTGACAATAGTTTGAATACAAAGAAATGTTCCTAACAGGGCAAAAAACATGATAGATGTAGCAGCATATTAATTGTTTTCTTCTTGTTAATGCATTAGACTATTACTAAGTCTTGTCTACAGTTAGAAGTGTTTATTTTGGAATTTAAAAGGAATTTCGGGAAATTATTTACCAATTAAAAACCTACCTATAACCAGTCAAATTTGAACTTTTCTAAATTGAAAAAAAAGATAGTTTTAGTGGTATTTTAAAGGTGGGAATAGATGAGGTGTAGTGTAGGCTGCTGAATGTCAGTACAGTAGAAAATAGAATAGGTACATTGTATTCGCTTTCAGACACAATGATTTGCTTCTACCAGTTTATCCTGTATTGATAAAAAGCATCAAGAGCAACCAACACTACCTTGTTTATTTGCTTGCACCTTTTTTGTTAATGACATCATTAAAATATTAGAATTGTTTGCCTTTTTCCTAAAAAATAACATTAGAAGTATCATTGTTAAACATGATCACTTCTGTACTGGGTTGTGATAAAAACCAAATTAACACTTCTACACAATGTTATATAAAAAGTTCTGTTTTAGAGTTATTTGTTTTTGTTGATATTTGTATAGTTAAACCATTTATAGTCTTCATTATATAGTCTTGTATGATATTCTTCAAATATAAAAGAGAATGCTAAGAAACCTATTTTTGGCCATAGGGTTTCAAAATAAAACTATAGCTGTTACTGAACTACTATTTCGGAGGCTTTATACTAACATAGACATTATTGTAAAAAAAAAAACAATGAAAAATTTCTTCCAGAGAGAAGTTGCTAACATGACATGACGATTCTTGAATTATCTGATCTTTCTTTTGACTGTGATATGTGGTTGAAGTGGGTTAGAATATGCATGGTACACATATGATCATAATTCCTTTTATTTCGTAGAGGTGGTTTGTTTTCATTTCGGGTTTAAAGGAACCTTGCATGATGTGTGATATGGGTTTATTAGGTGTTCATATTCATAAATACTATCTATTCTGGGTCTTTAACATCTGACACACAATTTATATTGAAAACATATAATGTCATTTTATAAAAATAATTCAAGAAGGAACATGTTACTTGAAATCTTTTATATATGATGAGAATTATAGGGTATTTTTACAACAGTTGTTGTTAAGTGCTGTACCTAATCAGACTTTAGTCAAACTCAGGGCCTTTCCACCAACCACCATTTTAGTTTCTTTGAATCCTTATTTACCATTGAATTATTATTGTAGGTGTAGATGTGTGTTATTTGAATTAAGTTAATATATTACATCATTATTTATGATTTATTTACATTATTATAATTTGTTATTATTGATAGTTTCACAAAATTTATGACCTTATTTTAGATACCAGTATTTTTTCTTTTCTAAGCTTCATATCATCCTACTTCATATACATAAAACACAATTTCATAGGTAGTCGAATTCTGTAAAATGGCATTTGTTCAATAATACATTGCGAGTGTGAAAATCATGCTTGTGTTATTTCAGAAAAAAAAACCAATTGCTTGTGTAGCCATGAGAAATTGTTAATAATAGCATTTGACTGGTTTGTGTATATGAAGTCTATTGAAACCATATCTTGTCTGAGTAACTACTTACTATAAATACTATACTAGACTATACATTGCTTTATGTCATTTGACATAAGACAAGAAAGGAACTCAGACATGAAATGGATATTCAAGATGATCTCTTTTTGTGCTATTTATATATTTTTCTATGCATGATGATTAGTTTTGTTTTATATTTCTATTTAAATTGAATTCCTCTGTTATTTCAATCTCTTTATTTTCTCTAATGAGTGTTGATTTAACAGTGAATTGTTGTTCAATATTATTTCATACTGAAGATGAAGCTTACTCTGCCTTATAAAGATCTGATGGTTGTTTAAAAAACATAATCCCAAGTAAATTATAGAAATTTATAATAAAATTTTAATTAAATACTATATATGACATACAAGATAGTAGAATAAAGTTTTGAAATTGTAAAGAAAATTACAGTAAACATACATTTTGTTATATTTGAAGTTCAATTGTTATCAAGAAAACTTAGAGAATAAGTAATTGTAAATTAGGATAAGATTCAAATAATATGTTCTACTCATAACTAATCAACATATTGTGATATTATATAGTCTATAAAACTCTAGATTTGATATGATGGATCTTATGAATGTTGTGGCAAATATACTTCTGATGAATACATTCAACTACATGTATGTGAAAAATGATCATTTATAAATAGGGTCATATACTTTCTCCCTTTCAAGTTTTGTTTTAGTTAATTGCCAACATTGTTTTTGGACCTTACAAGCCCTTGTTAGTATAAAAGTAGCAGTCTGTAAAATTTTCATTTTTAAAAGCGTCATAAATAATACCTGAGAATATTTCTAAAATATGTATCTAATCAATCAAACTAAATTTGTTTTAAAAGGGTTTTAAAGGGCTGGATTTTCTAAGTTAAAACTTTCAGATACTTTTAACTCAAGATTTGGGACTTAACATGAATTTGAGCAAAAAAAGATAATGCCCTTAACTAAATGTTATCAAATGAAACAATTTGTTATTAATCTTTCTTAATATTTGTTTCTCGCTTTTCTGAATTCAACTGTGATTTTGTTTTTCCAAGCTTTTTCACTGGTTATGCAAATATGTTTGTAAAAAATGCACTAAAGATTTATATTATAAAAAATTTAAAAGTCTTTGTGTGTGTTTTTATACGTCCACATAACCATGTGGACGTATATTGCCGTCGCCCCTGTCCTTTGGTCCGTTCACATTTCTTGTAGGTGCAATAGAGGCTACAGTTTTCATCTGATCTTGATGAAACTTGGTATGCATGTATATACTGATGAGATCTTGGTCAAGTTAAAATTTGGTAATAATCAGAAGAACGGTTTCAGAGTTATTGCCCTTGACTTACTAAAAAAGCGTCAAATTTGGCTTGTAGGCACGATAGAAACTACAGTTTTTATCTGATCTTGATGAAACTTGGTATGCATGTATATATTGATGAGATCTCAGACAAGTTCAAAATTGGTAATGAACGGTTTTAGAGTTATTGCCCTTGTGTGTACAGGGGTGAGACATTGTTCATGTTTGAATTTGATGATAATTTTATGAACTGTTTCAGGGTTTTGCCTTGACTTAAAGATGATTTTAAGATTATTTGAAAATTCATTATTAAGCCACTAAAGATTTTGTTATCATTTCTGACAGCTGGTAGTATTTCACCTTGTCTGGCAAGCTATCTTTTTTATAAGCCCACATTCTAATTTAATTGTTGGCAATTAGAGGCCAGAGTTTTTGTCTCATTTGATTTTTTTTGTTGACGTGTATGTTTATATCCTTGAGATCAGGGTCAAGGCCGAATTTGAGTATCAAAGTTTCAAATTAAATTATGTTAAATCTGGCTTGTGAGAATGGTACAGGCCATAGTCTTCATCAAATTATGAAAATGTGTGTATGCCTAGCTTTATATCCACAAGATCTTGGACGAGTTTGAATATTTCTGCACATTTGGACAAAGCGTATTGGGGTTTCAATCCTTGATACACTGATGACTGATGTAGCTTGAGAATGCAAGTTTTTATCAAATTTAGTGTGTAGGATTATTCCACTTAAAATTAACAATTAAAGGGACTTGACTCATGCTAACAGCTAGCCTAAGCAAGGCATTCAAAAAATAAACTTTACAAAGGCTTGAAAGTCAAAACATATGACATGTCATTAAAAATTAGGCTACTTATAAGTCATGTGTTTATATAAATTCATTATTTTAGTTGCCTATTTACAATTTAGTTAAGGTTCAGCCTGTGCTATTTAAATTTCATGTATTTAACAGTAGGTAAAGACTACTAAGCTGGGTCAATAAACTTGATTTTTAATGTTATCGTCTTGTAAATGTAAACTAAGTTGTAGTTATTTATAAATAGCCTATAATAATTGACGTTTGACGTGTTGCTGACGTACTGACGTCCACTTCCAATGTTATCCATTTGGTCAATATTCCTTTGCCTTAATTAAATCAGCTGACATATCAGATCTGGCGAAAAAAGAACAGAAGTTTAATGAGATGTCGATAGAAATTTGCATTGTTTTGAAATCATGTAATCCAACAAACCCAAGTGTCCTCTAAAGTCTCGCTTTTTCACGCCTGATCCGAGAAATGACGTATAAAATCGAAAATGGCGTCTGCTACAGTTGGGTTATTGCTTCGGCGGCAAATTTTCGGTAATCAATTCTTGGGAAAGAAACTTTATGAACCATTTAACCAATTAAAGGTAACTAATTTTGAGGTTCATGATTTACTTTCCACATGTTTTATCAACTTTCCATCACTTAGAAAATTGAATTCGAACGCTTTTGTTCTCTTCTATATTTTTAGCCTAGACTAGTACAGTAGTAGGCTCTTTCGGCAATTCTCGGCAGTTTTCGTAAGCTAGCGTAACTTTCACGGAGGCCGTTTGGACCAATGAGCTATATAACTTAAACTCATGCTGTCTTTTGATATAGTATGGATTCTGACATCTAGGTTGCATTCTGACATAGCTGATTTTGACTCTAAAAAATCTACTTCGACCTTCCTTAGGCTTAACGTCAATAACGATGTCTGTGGCTAGACCGAAACATCCTGTCACAACTTGTCGGTCTAGTCTGTGGCCCGACTAGGCTACTAGCTAGGCTAGTCTGTAGTCACTGTCAGTAGATTCATTTTGAACTTACTGTGCAGTGTGCGCTAAAATCGACAAAATTTTCACACATATTCATAGAACAAAATTATTATCCACACTCAAGTCCATTATATTAATGTCAACGCCTTGTTACGTTCAAATCGTCTTCAGGTACACGATTAGGCCTATTTATCGCAATCTTTAAATGGATCGGCGAATAGGCCTAGTAAAAATTGTTAAAACTTTCTCCGCCATGGCGAAGGTCATCGGCGATTTGATTCAAGGCTGTCATTGTCATCATGAACTGTCACACCTACTTAAAGGGATACTACGTCTTAGGATGAACAAAAATTTTTAATTTTGCTCAAATTTGGCCAATAACAGTATATATCCATCAGTAGACTCACCTGGTGTCCTAATTATACATCAAAATCCCTTCATAATCCGATATATCAACAAAATCAAGTAATTAATTATAAAACATCCATTAAGCGATTTTCAAATCGTGAGTCTAGGAAATCCGGTGTAATTTTCAAGGGGAAGTAACTCTCAAGTGGGGTTTCCCGCGTCCTTGACCTCTACTCTTGAATTGAATTCGACATTGTCATATTTTGAAGACGGAATGATGATGCCTCGTAGGAGATTAAGCGACTCCGTGAAAAAGCAATTTTCAACGAATATTAATCATTGGCAAGGTTTGTTTGTATACACCGGAAGATGATTGTTTCCTGTTTTAGCGTTGATTACCCAGACTCTTTTTTTCTAAAACTGAACGGATTCATGGCTTGCTCACTTTTTTTTAAAATTATGATTATAATTTTATTGTCGATTTTTTAAACTTGATAAAGTGTGGGATGCATACTTATTTAATCAATGGTCACTATTAAACACAAATATTAGCCACAGGGCGAGTGTATTCTAAGACGTAGTATCACTTTAATAGATTGTATTACAATCATATGCTATGGACTGCTTTTATGGCGGGTACTAAATAAAGGTCTGGTAGTGCCTAATTATAATCCATATTGACTCGTTCTGAAGAGGATGTTCACATCATCTCAAACGACTTGTTTATAACCAAAATATAATATTGATATTGATATATCCCGTGTTCTTCACTTCAGTGTTAGAGCTTGAAAGCTGAAAGGTCTTTACACGACTTACCGGGTACTGAAAAATGAAACGAGCAGAAAAATGATAAGGAAACGACCTCAACGACGATAAATTTGAAGCACGCTAATTAGCCTAGGCCAAAAAACAATATAATTATACATCAATGACATGCAAAGTCATGTAAAATTAAATTGACTTTTTCTTGATAATTTTTAAATACCTTCCATGTCAGTTATTATTTTCCTGTTTCTTCTTTTTATCATACGTGTAAGCTGTTTTTGAAGCAATTATTGGGGAGAATAGAGCTACAGTTCCCGGAGCACACACGAGCCATCAGCTTCCGACAGAATTCATTCGTGCACATCTTCTTAATAAGGAGACAGCTTCAGTGTGCGGGTAAATTTATGCAAGATGTTGGTCATTTGTGGCGAAAAGCTGAAAATTAAACCTGTTCGATAATTTTTTCCACAAATGAACATGCTTGTGTGTGCGCGTAACTAAAGCTATCTTTGAGGTAAATTTAACTACGCATGCGTAGTTACGTGGCCATTCAAAATTGCTAACGACGCTCTGCTCGGTGAAAATCTTGTTGACGACCGATTAATATCGATTCTGTCTTTGATATCTATGTAAGATCTAAAGATTTCAAAAATATGGAGAGAAGAGACGCTGGAAATAGCCTAAAAGCAAAGAGATAAAAGTAGACCTATCTATTGTGAATATAAGCTTATTGTGACAATTTGCTCTCTTTCGACAACGATTACTGCGTAGTAACATAGTAAAGTAACAGGACTTTAGCGGTTGGGGCGGTAGGAAATTTGGGATTTAAAACCCACCACAAATACAAATGTCAGATCGCGATGTTTGCCCGACGATATTACTTTAAAGAGTACGTTATATTTACGAGCCTTTTGTACGCGTCACAAAATCCCAGCGTTAGAGAGGGCGGGAATTGATTGGCTGGCGGTGTCATCTAACTGACAAATGTTCAAGAAGGCCGCCTCAAAGCTAAGACCCAAACGGAGGTGGCTATATTAAAGATAAAAGCTAACAGAAAGAAAGCAACGAATGTTTGGTGTAATTTTAATCAGAAATGGTGTAACACAGTAACTTAAGCTTAAATACTCTATTGATTATTTATGGTTTTCTAGTTGACATTTTAATTTCTACTTTACTAGGTACTGTGGTTTATTCGAAATGCTCTGACTGAATTGATCTCCATTTATTACAGGCAACAGTAATCCGACTCAACAAATTTCCTTCAAACCATTCATATTCAACACAAGTTCAACAATTTAAAGGTAAGAAGACTTTCTGAATGAATTCACATAAAACCATTCATAATAGGATATGGTTAATAGTGAATTAAATGCAATGAGTTATAAAGTGTTGGCATTCACCTCAATTGTAGTAAGTTGCATGAAAGAAATTGATCTTTTTCATCTTATTCTAAGTTGGGCTGGGTAAAATGATCGAAATAATCCATTATCGTCGCTTGGAAGTTATCATTTCAAAGCTGATCAAAGCAAGAATATACGTCTATGAAGCAAAATTATCCATGAAATTGTTTTTAATTTAGTATATTTTCAGGGTTTCTCAATGAATTATTTCGATTATTAATCGATTATTTATTGGTACTCTGCCATCAATAATCGATCTAAATTTGGTAATCGATACACAGCCCTAATACTAAGGCATGAAAATATATTTTTGAACTAACCAGTCTCTTGTTGATTGATAGTTGGTTTGATCTTCTTTACTTTTGAATCTACTCCTCATTATAAAAACAATAGTGAAATGGTTTGATTTATTTTTTAAGATGTGACAGTTAGTTTAAGGAATGGCCTTCCTGTTGTTTCTGTGCCTTTACCATCTCGTCAAGAAAAATGTGAATTCACCCTAAAGCCTATAACTCACACTGTTGGAGATTTCCTGAATTTTATTCAACAAGAAGATGGTGGTATTGACAGATCTGCAATATACACATCAGGTTAGTAGGCATTTTGGATAAGTTTTAAAGACCAGTTATGCTTTATAATTTTTTTGACCATTGGTTAATCATTTACATTACAATCATTTACATTACAGGGATTGAAAAGGTTTTTTGTACTTTTTATGTGTATCGGGGACACTGATAGCATCACTTTGAACCTTTCAAATGTTCATATGTCCATAGTTTCTGCAATTCCACTAAACATAAATGTGTTTGATGGCGTCACTAATCGCAAAAAAAGCTTTATAACAGAAGTCCCTTCGTGATTTGTGATGTCATCAAACACTTAGTTTTAGTGGAATTGTAGAAGCTACAGACGTCTGATTGAAAATTAGAACAGTGCAAATTAATGCTATCAGTGTCTCCGATACATATAATATATAAATTTAGAAAACTTTTCTGTAAGGTCAGTTGTCAAAGTTTTTGACATTGACAGCTGACAACAGTCAAAGAACACTTTGATCAAAACTTTGAAAGACTTTGATAAGTCAATAGCACCCTATTATTTTTTTTTTAAAATTTGGATGGAAATTAACTATGGGAATTAACCAATCAGAGTTGAGTTTGGGAATGAAGTTGTTTACAAAACAAAAAGCACAACATAGTAAAACTGCAGGAAAAGCTAAGTAAGCTTTAAAAGAAAGTAAGAAAATATGTGTAAAAATGAAATGATAGAGGGCAGATCTAAAAAAAAATCCAAAGAATAGAGCCATTTTACAAGGTTAAATTCATGCCTTTTCTTTGACAAGTAAGTCATCAGAAAAACTTTGACAGTGACAACAGAAAACTTTGACGCGTATTAGATGGAAAAATTTGATAGTTACAACTGCCCATGGAAATAGCTTATTGAAAATTTCTTTGGCAGATTGATTTTTTTTTTCAATTTTCAGATGGGAACAGGATTGGCAAATCTACAACTGTTGATATTCTTATGAAGAATAATTTTACTTTATCCATCAACGATAAAAAATATCAAGTTAACCCTCCTGAGCTCTGTAAGTATACATCCATATATCAGGGTTTACAAAAGTAGTTGTCGCCCACGACATTACTTCAAAAGTAGGGCTCTAAAAGAGATTGTATATAAATCACAATAACCTAAATATCCTGTATTTTGGTCGCTTTCTTACCATATCACGCAAACTAAAAATCAAATAAATGCCTCCATCTTGGTAAATTAAACTTTTGAATTGCACAAAAACTGAAACAAATATTACTGTCAAATATAGTTTGTGTTAATGAAACTAAGAAGTTATATCCATGTACATGTTTGGGAAATAAAATGATACACTTAAGAATTCATATTTGTTTGATATTTTTGCGTGCTACCTTCCATTCTTACTGAGTTTTCAAATTCAAAGGATGGCATGTTTACACACTACATGGATACATGACCTAAGTTTCATAGTTATTAACCTATCCTACAAATTCATAGCGTTGTTATGATCCTGTGTTATGAGCCTGGGAATAGAACTTTTGTGTGCTAAACATGTGCAATCTTGCTCGAGTATAGAACTCCTTTAAACATATTACCAAAAACCTCAGATGCAAATTACACTTGACCTGACCAAATGTAGATTATGAATGATTAAAAAAAAGTACAATTTTCAGAAACTCAAAGCTGTGATGAAATTTGTTGCTGACTCAACCCTATTCAATGTTTTACATCTCCTGAAAAGATAAGCTTATGTTTGAAACGATTGGAAAATAGTTGTATATTATTGTATATTTTCAGTTAAAAATAAACAAAAAGATGTTGAATTAATTGCTGATGTTAAAACGTTAGTTACTCAACTGTATTCTGCATTAGATATAGAACAGTATCAATTACAAAAAGATAAAAAATTAGTAGCCAAACTAGAAGATCTGAAACAACAATTAGAACCATTAGAAAAAGTATGTACTATCTAGTTGATAGTTCAATATTTGTAAATCTGAAATGTAAACATTACTTAGACTAGAAAATTTCCAAAACAGTAATTCAAATATCATTTGTGAATTTTCTAAATGTATTCAACTTGAAACTAGCCAGCCTTATCTTTCAAAAGTATAAACATAGCTTGACAGGCAAGGTACACCCACCACCAGCTGTCAGAAATAGTAACAAAGTTTTTAGTGACTTGAAAATAAATTTTCCCATCTTAAAGATATTTTGTAAGTCAAGGCAATAGTATACCTAAAAACATTTTATCAAAGTATCATGAAATTCAAACATGAACAAGGTCAGCACTCCTCCGTTATTAACAAAATTCAAACAAGATCTAATCAATATATAAATATACATTTATACAAGGTTTCATCAAGATCGGTTGAAAATTGTAGCCTACAAGCCAAATTTGACACGGTTTTACTCAAAAGAAACTGTTCATCCATTTGTTATTAAATTCAAACTGGACCGATATCTCATCAATATATACATGCATACCAAGTTTCATCAAATTTTGATAAAAACTGTAGTCTCTATCATGCCTACAAGTCAACTTTTTATGTTCCAGAAAAAAGGTGAATTAGTACAACAAAGTAATAAGTATACCAACTTCGTAGCCTGGATAGGATGCGGTGCAATAACAATAACAGGTGCTTTCTTAGCTAGATTAACATGGTGGGATTATTCCTGGGATATCATGGAACCTATTACACATTTTGTTACATATGGTGCTACTATTGCCATGTTTTTTTACTTTGTTTTATGTAAACATGTAAGTAGCAGGTATTTTCTCATTGTGAATTGGTTGTATATTGCCATCGCCCCTGTCGATCCAAAATAAATAAGGCCACAATTTTTGTCTATGTGGACGTATATTGTCGGCACCCGTCAGTCCGTCCGTCAACATTTGCTTGTAAACGCTCTAAAAACTAGATTTTTTGATGAAATCAATGAAATTCGGTATGTGTATACATATTCATATAGCGAAGATCAAGTTGGAATTTGAGCTATTTTCGACTGTTAGAAGCAGAGTTATTGCCCTTGCCCCACAATCTTGAATATGCTATTTCTCTCTTAGTTTTCAACCGATTTTGATGAAACTTAAAATGTATGTTATTGGACCTAAATCGAAAGGTTGAGAAAGTTTAGTTTACTTCTGATTAAATTTAAGGCTTTTTCAAGATTTAGGCCTCTTACGTCAGTTTTGAGGAGTTATCGCCCTTTAACCTCTATATAGTAAGTGCTTCTATCAACATCGATTGCTCGTAAACACTCTAAAAATGAGAGTGTTTGAAGGAATCAAATGAAATTCGGTATGTGCATACATATTCATGAAACGAAGATCAAGTTCGAATTTGAGCTATTTAGAAGCAGAGTTATTGCCTGCACTAAAATCTTGAATATGCTATTACTCTCTTAGTTTTTAACCGACTTTGATGAAACTTAAAATGGATGTTTCGTTTTTACCATCCGAATGCCTTGGTGGACGTAAATGGCTGTGGTCCAGTATCTTTTGTTTAGCTTGTAACTGTGATTTTGTGACGTGAACAAAAGGTGTATTCTGAGAAGCATTAGACACTTAATGCACCATTTGTTTACATCACAAAATCAGGAATTTGATTCACAACAGACGAAGTGCAATAAGGCTGTTTTTAGACCCCAGCTGAGTGACTAAATAAAAAATAAAAGCTAAAAAAAAAAAACGGAACAAAAGTTTGGTCTTATTTTTATTAGACTGTGGTGTGGATTTATATTCGCAACATTTTGTACTAGTTGGAATATGGGTAAGATTCAACAAATAATGAAGGACTTGCAAACCTTGCGTATTATTTTGTTTATCGTCTGTCAGTCAGTCTTGAGTTTAGAGATTTTTATCAATTTCACACAATATTGCTTCCATTAACAATTCATTAATATTATGTATAGTTTAGATTTTTCAATGACAAACTGACGATCTGTATGATATTTTTTTCAGGAATATCATTACGTTGAAGTGAAAGACAGACAGTTTTTGTTAAAGTTCTATAAAGAAGCCCAGAAAAAGAATTTTGATATAAAAAAATATAATGATTTAAAAGATAATATAGCACTAATTGAATCAGATATACAACGTTTACGTGATCCTTTACAGTTACACCTTCCAGTACAAAAATTAAAGAAGATTTAATTCTAATCTATAAAGTATTGTAATTGTAAAGAAAATTACAGAAAACATAAATTTGTTTGTTCAATTTGAAGTTCAATTGTTATAAATTATAGGTAATTGTTAAATTAAAATGCACAATTTATATTATAAAAGAGTTTAAAGATTTTGTGTGTTTTTTTTTCTTGTAATTTGTTAAGATAGAATAAAGGAAAATGGTAATATTTCAATATGTGGAGAAAAAAAGGAAATCAATTCTTTCTATATTTCAATAAGGGGGTTGAAACACCTTCCACTTTGAAATATATAAAATTAATGAAAACAAAACTAAAGGAAATAGTCACAATCCAGGGTTAACCAATATACACAAAGGTGAAACTAAGGACAGACCAATGGAGAGAAAGAAAAAGATGAGAAGAAATAAGCATGAGTGAGTGAAGAAAGGAAGAGTTCACTCAGCTGATCTGAAATTGAAAAGTGATTACAGTATGTTAGTATAAATAATGTCTGGCTAAAATAAATAATATTTACAATTAAAATATAAAACTAGTGTCCAAAAGTAACGATACCACCTGTTTGCAACGACATAAAAGAAAAACTAAACAATGCAGAAGTTTAGGATTGGTGTTATGCTTTTGAGAAATCCTTTCACAACATCTGTACAAAAATTTCATTTCAATAAAATCTGTACAACCAATATGACAAGCCTTTAAAGATGGGTGGGGTCGAAAAAAGAACATTTCGTTAGAGCACTGATGACAGAAACAACGGGAAATGTCATACCACACGTCACAAAGTCAAGTCAGTAGCGGGTATGTCCACCGTGAGCATCATTACATGCCAGAACACGCCTACGGACTGATGCCGTCAAACGTCTGATGACGTTGGGAGTGATGCGTTGCCATTCCTCGAGGAGGCATCATTCCAAGTCCAGGACGTTGACTGGAGGCACACGGCGACGTCGGATTTGCCGATCGAGGTGGTCCCATAAGTGCTCGATGGGATTCATGTCCGGTGAACATGCGGGCCATGGCAAAACCTGTACGTTGGCGTTGGCAAGGAAGTTCTGTGTCAATCTTGCTGTGTGTGGCCTTGCATTGTCATGTTGGAAAAGGAGTCCACGAGGCTGTTGCTGAATAAAGGGCACCACAACAGGCCGTAGGATGTCATCAATATAACGCTGTGCATTCAGGTTTCCACGAATTACGACAAGCCTCGTTTTGACGTCACCACATATGCCACCCCAAACCATTAACCCTCCACCTCCAAACGGCCGGACCTGTTGGATACAGTTAGGCGTCAAACGTTCACCAAATCGTCGGTATACAAGCTGCCGTCCATCGTTTTTGAAGATGAGTAATCTGCTCTCATCAGAGAACATAACATGTGCCCAGTCCCGCCGTTGCCAACGTCGAACTCGCCTGGCCCAGATCAGTCTGTTGTTCCGGTGTCGAGGCGTCAGGAGCGGTCCGCGGTAGGGATGACGTGGCCGGATACCATACTGCCGTAGTCTCCTGTAGACGGTCTGTCGACTGATCCTGTGTCCCAGTGCTGTAGCCGCCGTGGACGTCGCTGTTACGGTGCGGTTCCTCAGGTGTAATACCCGGATGTAACGATCTTCACGGTCGTGGTTACTCGTGGTCTTCCACTCCTGGGCCTGTCTGACGTCTGACCTGTCTGACGTAACCGCTGCATCAACCTGGTGATAGTGATGCGTGCGCAGCCCAATCTTCTGGCAAACGTCGACGTGTGTCGCTCCTTGTTGGACCATTCCAACGGCTCTCTCTCGATGGCTGTCAACCGTAGCATATCTTGTGTTCTTTTTGTTGCTGTGATATCAACGTGTCTGATCCGCCGTTTTATACAGTTTTTATGCACGTGCAGAACATGCTAGAGAGGGAAATGTCACTTTCACGAAATTTACGTTTTTTCCCGGAAGTGATCACGTGTTCCCGGTATTTTTATCGACTATGCTGTGTTTGGGATGTGCAATACGAATTGGCATGTTTTCATATTAGACAATTTACTTAGTAAAAAACAATTTTGAAAATAAGTTGGTATCGTTTCTTTTGGACACTAGTCTATTATATACTGTAAAAACATCATTCCAATTCCTTCATCTTGAAGGTAATATTCTTCTTCACTTTCCGGTTAAAATGTGAGTAACCAAAGAAAGTATCGCTGCTTAAATAGTTTCCATTAGTTTTATTATTTCCAATGTGATTATCATTAGATACTTCCAAATTGAACACAGTCCAATAATTGAAAAATTTACTGTTGTCTGAGTGGTCTAAAAGACACAAAGTTATCTCCCACAGAACATTATTATCACATTTTTAGCTCTTGTTATATAATTTTAAAGCTCTGGAACTAAAGTAAAAGCGAATTCGAAGTTCACTACGACCCTTTTTTCAGACAGACTAGGCTTGTTCGGCAGACCTACTGTACTACTACTAACACGGTCAGGGGTGGTGTCAAGAATAATACCTTCTGGATTGTTTACAAGCTAATATTGAACGCGTTTTCAAGGACAAGGGCGATAACTCATATTAATTATTTTTCGATTTTTCTGATTTTCAGTAGGGTTCATCCTTGGGTGATAATAAATACTCATACCAAGTTTCATCAAATTCCGCCAAGAATTGTGCCTTCTAGAGTGTTTACGAGCATTTCAAGAACAAAATGGCAATAACTCGTACTAAATAAATTTTATGACCAATTGTGAACGGACGGAAATGGGAGACGGTAATATACGTCCCCGTTTCATATGGGCGTATAAAAACAGTTCCCTTGTCTAGTCCTACAAACTGACCCAAAACTATATCTGCGATACCCTCCTCTCCCCTCTTTGACCAGTACCCGAAAAAGATGTGACACCCCCACCCCCCCACCCCCTCTGTTTGCAAAACTGATCGCCGCCCCTGAACAGAGTAGTAAAGTAGGTCGACTTCTTTTTAACAGAGAGTGATAAGCACATTTCATAGTATAGTGTAGACTAGATGACAGTCTGACATTTATAATATGTGGTTATGGAAAATAGTTTACAGACTACTTTATTATATATATATATAGTAAGATGGACTAAGGTTCAGATCTGTGATATAAAAGCGAAATAAAACACCCCATTGCCCATTAGGCTCAGCTAATTCGGTCGTTCCAAATGACGTGTAAGCAGTGCGTGCAAAGATGATCGAGTTATTTCCCCTTAGTTTCTATCCCAGAATTCACAGCGCGCCACGTCCGCAGCGGCCATTAATTTAGACGTGAAGGAAAGAAGCAGACGCAACTCTCACAAAATGAATGTTTTTCGGCTTTTGGGGGATATGTCCCATTTATTAGCAATATTAATATTATTGCTGAAAATGTGGAAAACACGATCATGTGCAGGTAAAATGGGTTTTGATGCTTTTATCCGTAGTTTTAGAATTGCATATTTCTTGATAGCCTACAACAGTCCAACACCGGTTTGTTTTGATTTTCTTGGTAGTCTGTGATACTATCTGAGCAGAGCCATATTGCATTTATTAAATAACAAAAGTCCATTATGGATGAATTATAAAATTACATGCTTAGTGAATGTCTAGAATTACCATACTCTTGACACTTGCTTGCATACTAAAGATAAAAATGTATTGGTGAATTGTTGCAGTCCTAGTCTTAGTAAAGTGGTCTGATAACAAGTAACTCCCTTAAAACAGGAGTATATAGGTTGAAAATCCAAAAATGGTGCCATTTACTTACTTAATTGCGCTCTTAAACTTAGTTCAAAAACTCGCTTACTTTTATAGTTTGTATTGTTGTCTGCAAAAGTACAATGAGTCAAATTACAAACATTATGGGGATTATGAGGCCTACTCATCTGGACTTTCAAAGGGGCAGTTCTATCACTATTCTATAAATATTTCACAAAGTCAACTAGCGGTACTCTGTTGTTCAATGTTATACACATAAGATGCATTATTTTAATTTTTGGTTTTATTTTACAGGCATATCGGGAAAAACACAGATATTATTTGCATTAGTTTTTACAACCAGATACCTAGATTTATTTTCAAGTTTTATTTCCATTTACAACACTACAATGAAATTGTTCTTTATTGCATCCAGTTATTTCACCATTTTTCTGATGTATTCTAAGTTTAAAGCCACCTATGATAGTAATCATGATTCATTCAGAATGGAGTTCCTAGTTGTACCTGTTGGTGGCCTTGCTTTCCTTGTTAACCATGAGTTCTTACCACTTGAGGTATGTTCTTCATTTTCAAACTTTAAGATAGTGACAAAGTTTTAATCTCTACATGTTGTGTAGGGATACAGATGTTTCTCAATTTCAACTTTCCGTATCACCTTTCGGAGTTAACATAGGCTGTCTGTTCTCAACATCGTACTGCAACTTAAATTTTGGATTATTGTCACTACTTCTAAAGCTCTATTAATTATTAATTTTCAGATTCTATGGACCTTCTCTATTTATTTGGAATCCGTAGCCATATTACCTCAGTTGTTTATGGTGAGCAAAACTGGTGAAGCTGAAACCATCACAAGTCATTATCTGTTTGCTCTGGGTTCATACAGATTGCTGTATATATTTAATTGGGTTTATAGATACTATTTTGATGGCTTTTTTGATTTAATAGCAGTAGTAGCTGGATGTGTACAGACCATTTTGTATTGTGATTTCTTCTATTTATATATCACCAAAGGTAATTATTGAATTTTTCAATTTCTTACCCTGTCTGGCATGTTTATTGAATTTAACCCCACAGCCTCTTGACAAAAAGAATAAAGTTCATAGATATAGAAAATTTTATTTGAAACTGTCTTTCAGGTAAATACAAAGAAATTGCTCTGATGGAAGTAAGGTATAAACATATTCCATGCATTATGCCTATCACCAGCATGCTTCGTAAAATCCTTCCTTATTAGATTTGGGATATACTTTTTCTTTGGTGTTGATTTGGCTGTGGGGTAACATCTTGAAAGTGATCAACAGTCATCCGTCTTGTTAACCTTGATCAATAAGACATAAACCTTACATCCCATTCATTGAGAGTGGATTTGATACTATTATTTTATTCATTGTTTGTCTGAGCAGTATTATATTATATTATATTTGGCAATTTTGATACATAATTTGATAAAAAGTATCAATAGTCTTTTCCTTCAGTCAACAAACTTAAGAGTCAATTAATAATACTGCATTTTATGATCACTTTCAAGATCAATATTTAACCATGTTTTGATAGTTTTTATTTCATAAATGGTCTAAAGGCTTTAACTAACACAATTAGGGGGCTAGCCCTATAATAATTTTACATTATATTGGATTGATGTACCCAGTGCACTCATTACAGAGCGATTTAGAAATGTTACACCATTTTTGATTTTTTAAATTGGATGTTTCTACTTGATCTTACATCATCTATTAGTTGAAGGGCATTCTAATAGAATAGTTTTGACCGCTTGACAACTATAGTTCGTGAATTTATAACGAGAAGTTCAGCAAATTGGATTGTATTGTCAATATTGACCTTTTGATTAACTAAGTCACAGCTTGCACCATTTTCAAACTGTAAGAACTAAATTTTAGAAAATTTTCTACATTAGCCTGTATTATAAAAAGTGTAAAGACAGTACTGTTTGCATGAGAGACCTTATATCCATGTACAATGTATGTGAATTTATAATGATAATCATTATATTGGCTTTATGAAAATCATACATATTTGAATTAAAAATTTAATTTAACATGCATTAAGATTAAAGCATAAGTTTTCCAGCTACCTTGTGTTTTATTGTATTTTCAGTTCATTATTATGCTCAGATGATGGAATGATAGAAAGTAAACTGGCATGTCCATTAAATTTCTATACCTCATTCTTGATATGTTTTTATTCACTCAATTGAATAATTGATGAATTTCTCTATCTATATTTCAGTGTTGAAGGGGAAAAAGCTAAGTCTACCGGCTTAAAAATTGATCTTCTTCATGTTTAGAAGTTATTGAGACATTGAAAATAGGGAAATGGAATGGAAATGCTATGTAGCATTAGTATGACTGTGAAAACTGAACAACTCCATTATTGTTATGCTTTGTCTATGTGGCATGTTGTTTTTTCATCACCACTTGTGTAACATATGTGTCATTTCAATATGGATAGAAGTCTTAAATCTGAAAGATTTGTATATACTTTATTTTTTTTCTTGATTTTATGTTTGGGTAAATGAATTTTCATGAAAGGGATCAAATCGGAGATCTAATGAGTGGTTTAGGTTTTCTCTGTGTTAGGTGCTTTCTTATATCCCCCAATTTTATTCAGTAACAGATCTAAAAGTGCCTGTTGTACAGATTAAAAGTTTCACTGATTCACTTCATTAGATTGCAAAAAGAAATAAATGCATAAGCCCAATAAAACCAACCATGGTTGGGATCTGAGTGTTGACTGAATTTAATTCTAATATGAACCTATTATGCTACAAATTGTAAACTGTATACATGTATAATGTTATGCAAGAAAAGATCTTTTATGCACTAAGATTTTCATTTTAAAAATAAAGATTTTAGTTTTTTTAAGGTTCTATGTTCTGTCAAATATCAACTATTGATTTGATGCTTTAAACATTGCTCATTCTCTGTCAAACTGCATGCTTTGAAGCCCTGGAACCTATTATCTTCACTGAAGCATTTAATATTATATTGATTCCAATAACAGCATAGTGATAATTTGACTTCCTTCAAAGAAGACCAGGGAAGGTCCACTCTATATGTTTACTTAAACCACATACTGTTAAGCAACAGATTCCATCCATAAAATATCGGTGCATGTTCTAAGTCAATTATTTTGCCAAAAACTTTGTAAATATTTCTAAGTCCCTATAATATTTCCGTACAACTTTGGTGCAGCTAGCTTGCAGACCGATGTGTTAGACATATCAAAATTTAAGTGAAAGAAATAGAGTACGGGTCTATCAAGAAAAACATTTATATATTGGTTTAGAAATTTATTTGTTACAACTACTTCAACATCAATTATGAACAGGTCCTCTTAATATTTTCTATCATTCAATTTAACAGCAGCTGTAGTTTAGTTTTATATTGCATGCAGTGTGTTTCAGATAGATTTTCTATCACATGGTAGATTTCTTTATATAAATAGGTTATCATTTGTGTCATCTTATGTTCAAAGTATAATAAAAAGCATACAACTGAAGTTTTTATTTTTCAAATTATACCATAGACAAAAAAAAGTTACTGTGTCTAGAATTGATATAGTTGTACTCTTACAAAAGACAGGGACCCCAGTATGGAAAATTATAGGAATTGGAAAAGATCAGCTGAGAGTCAAGTAGGCCAAAGACCCCGATGTGTTCATGGGATAATTTACCATTTTAAGATGCTTTGTCATTTCCTAATATATAGATATTCTTTGAAATTCCAAAATTTAAAAAAATACCATTGGCTAAAAATATTCACTCCGTACTATAATGGTTTTATATATGATAATAATTTTTCTATAACATTGGTCATGTGTAATTGTTCCTGAAATACAGAATAAAGATAATTAATTAAATCTAGCAGAATATTGAATAAATTCAAATAGGCAGTTAGCTTTTGCAAGATTACTTCAGGAAAAAAGGAAAACGTTCGGCTTGGAACACAGACAAATCTGGCCCTAACCAGTTCCTTAGACGTGATATACGAGTTTAGGGCCAGATATACGTTGACTTTCATGGGGCTTGTAGTGATAAGGAGGCAGGTTGGGTATTTCCAGCATACCTTTGTGGATGTATTCCTATCTCGTAACCCAACAATACCCTTTTCTACTGTTTGTTCATTTAAAACTATAGTGTAAGGAATTCCTAGCTCATCATATCTGTAATAAAACAACAATTTACGTCTCATATAAAACATTTTCATGGTTAAGACCAATTTGATTTTAGTCAAATTAGTGATAGTGATTTTGGATTTTTTTTTTTTTACTTTAAAATATTCTAAAGATATTGCTGAAAATAATCTGCAGATGCATTATTTTCACAAAATTTACATCCAATAGTAGCATTTTAAGATAACAAGCACTAAAAAAACAAAAAATATTTACTTACTGTTGAAACTGTGCTCCTTGAGTACTATTTTCAATGTGTAAAGTGTTAAACACCATGACTCCTGTTTTTCTTAATTCTGTCATAAAGTGATCTGCTATTAAACTAACTTGTCTAGTTCTATTGATAGGAGTAGCCACAGCAACTTTATATGGTGCTAGATGACTATGTAATAACAGTAACTAAAAAATAAATTATTGTAAATGATAGTTTAATACATGGAAGCTTGGAAATTAACAAAAATAATCTGGTTGAAATACATTCTAGAGCAGTAAAAAGCCAAAGATATATCCTCACAATGTCAAGCTAATACAAACTGAGACTTCTACCTTGTCAACTACCTTAGCAATCTCTCTTGTATCAAGAAAGTTAGTAAATGCAGTGATTTGATTGGATTGTGAGTCCTCAACAGAAAAGCTGTAAACAAATTGGCTGTGCGTGTAATCAGGGGATATGATTGGCTATATTTGTTAGCTAACAATCCAATCAACTGCATTTACAAACTACGGTGATTCAAGAAATGTATTTTATGTCCATAATAAGTAGTAAATCATCCTTTCAAATTTTACTAATGAATAACAATATGGATGATTCATTTTACTCTCGATTTTGCTGGGCTATGGATGAGATTTTGATTAAAGGAAATGTTTTGCTTGTACAGATTTTTATTCTATCCATCCTAACCAATTCCTATTTTTCTTATTGCATCTGGAAGTACATATACAATAGACACTCTCCATCATCCAAAATATTCGTACAGACGGACTGGATTTTAAGATTACACAGATCACATCGGACTTACACATTTTTCTTGTTTTTCATCAGATTTTGCGGTAGAAAAAATTTCCCTTTCATCGTAACTATCTAGTAAAAACGCTGTCATACTATTTTCTAGTGATGTTTCTAATTGTAATATATGTGGTAAGGCAGACTTCTTTTTCCATTTACCCTACAATGAAATTAATATAATTTCAACACTTTCTTAATTATCAGGTTACTAATTAATCTTTTGAAAATCTTTGGTCTTGGGAACAACATTAATAATAACATATTCAAAATTCAATGGTCCACAAGCTTAGGTGATTTTATCGTAATTTAAAAATTAAGGACTAACATAATCATAATAATAACATAATGCATAATTTTCATTATACGTTAGTACATGATTATCTTATATTACATGAATATTATTGTCTAGATTGATAGGGGTACAAAAAAGATTGTGAGAGACAAATCAAAAGTTCATTTGCTGATTGTTCATACAAATTATACACAAATATATACAAATTATTTTCTATGTCAATAATAATTTCTAAATATTAATCTACTTGCAGTGTATGTGTTTTTTGTCAATTATAAATCATTTTCTATAAATATATTAGTCAAAAATCAATATAATATATTGCTGGCAGATGTTGAAGTATAGTGAAAGGTTGATTATTACTATATTGGTTTATTATACTCAAGTGTCAATTCAATTATTATATTACTTATTAGTTTAATCACAGGTGTATACACCGTATTTATTTACAAATGTTTACTTGTTATTACTGCAATGAATTGTGTCACCATACCAAGACAATAATGAATCAATTCAATGAAGAGATATAGTCATCTAAATTAATTTCAGTTATTGGTAACCTTTTCCAGATTAAAAATCTAATGTCAGACTCTCTTCAGTTCATCAAACGTGCATTGGAAGTTAAGCCACAAAAAATTGCAGTCATAAATTATTACTCATAATTGCCTAAAGATGACAATCTAAATTTCTCTAGTACTTTTAGTTCACTTGTTGCACAAGATAATGATTGATGTCTATTCGGTTGTAAGGCAAATTAGATGACTATATTAAATCCTTAAAGTTGTCCATTCCCACATAAAGGCAAGTACCTAGCAAGATCTTAATACACAAAGATTCAAAACTGATCAAAATTAGCTCAGGCTTGTTTGTAAAACTAAAAATCAAATGAAATAAGCAAAAAAAAAAAATAAATAAATATCAATACTGTAACTACTGTACCTTGCAATTCTGTCCTGTCCGTAATTCTAGGTCTATCAATGGTTGATCTCCTAAATTACGTATACTTTCTATAACTTCATTACCCCATGGACATTTATAACATATATCTCTGGTTAACAGTTCATCACTATCAGATTTAGTATCATTAGTAACTACATTACCAGGTAATCTAAAATACTAATCATTAATATTCATAGAGCTGTGAAAGTTATAAATCCCATTTTTCAGAAACTCGCTATGATAATTTATTCCTCTATGCTGTTCAACCAATAAATATTTCTGTTTCCCAAGGAAGTATCAACAGTCCAGTTTATTCTGCCTGCTATTCCAGTACCGTACTCTAAAGAAATTGTGTTGACAAATTTTATCTTGTTGGATATGAAGATGATCACAATGCGTACGGAAGTTTTGATGCAAGTAATATATCGGAGGAGACTGGGACCATGCAACACTAGTCTGATACAATGGAACTCATCAAACAATGGATGGTGGAGAATTGACTCAAAATGAACGATGATAAATCAGAATTTATTGTGTTTGGAAGCAATCATCTGGCGCAGAAATAACATTTGGTGGTGTGAGTGTAAACCGCTCAGAAAGTATACAGGTTTTTGGCATCTCCTTTGATCAACATCTGAATTTTGATATACTTACAGCGCTAAAATCAAGTAACGCTACCTTAGCATTAATGAAAAGCTAAAAAAATCAAATCTTTCATCAACCGATCACATGTTTAAAGCTAGTATTTTCACATTTAGACTACTGCAATAGTTTCTTTATCAATCTGCCTCAAACAACCATTCAACCACTATAACGGGTGCTAAATTGATGCTGGGTCTACAAAAATTTGCCAGCACCACAGAAGCGTTAAAGGAGCTACACATTCTTTTAATACACGTCCGGGCTGAATACAAGCTTCTTCTAATGGTGTACAAATGTTTAAATAATTTGGCTCCAATATATCTATCAGATCTCTTAACAGATTAATCTGTCTTAATCTTGTGTACCAACATCAAATTATAAACCCATTGCAGATAGATCATTCAGTGTAGCAGGTCCACAGTTATGGGACAAGTTACCTGAACAGTTAGAAACTCTTTTAAGAGGAAGTTAAAAACACATCTTTTTAGAAGAACTTTTACCCAAAACAACTGAGTGTGTGTGTAGACAATGACTATAATGTAGAAATATTTGTGTTTGTAAAGCGCCATTGAAGCATTAGAGCATAAGTAAGCGTTATCCTAAGTTCAATAATTTTAATAATAGGAGTGCAACAAATATCATCAAATTCCACTCAAAATTGGCTTCAGTAGGCTAAAATATGAACATACATCCAAATACAGATATGCCTGAGCACCAATCTAAATCTAGATGCTTCCTAATACATGTATGTTCTTTCTGCAGGTTACTACACTTGCAATCTTTGAAAATTATTCTTTATGTTGAAATGTTGAAATTTTCATATTGATACCAATAGTCATCACTTATACTAACCATTGTAAAACACTGCTTTACTGGTAAGAAAATACAAGTCAAAAATGATATCCAAAAATTCTATGCCTTGTATGAGAAGGAAGTCTTTCATTGAACAGAACATTTAATTATTGAATATTTCATGACCAAGAATATGAGATCATGGATGGATAGTGGAGTCACAATAAAAGTCACTACAAAATCAAGATCCCTTTCATTAAATTTTGCCTACCTTTTTCCACCATCGGACTCTTTCTACCATCCATTTATCTACAGATTGGAACATATTACTAGACGAGATAAAATGTTGTAACACTAAACTAGTCTTTTCTATTGATCTGAAATACACAATGAACACATTTTTTTAATTAGGGAAGTCGGTAGTTAGTTGGATTGACAACTGCTAAGCGTTTTAGTGCTTGGGGTTCAATTCTCTCATGGTAAGAACAATTTTGAAGCCTAGATCCATGCTGAAAGTATTCCCAGAAGAAACAGCAAGGGGAGGTAATCCTTTATTTTAGAACATTAAAGGGGATTCAAGAAGCAGTTTGAACTTACAGTTGCAACAGATGATCATTACTTTGATTGTGTTTGATTGTAGAATGACTATCATAGTATTTACCAGTACTAACTAAACTAAATGGTAGATGGCAATCTAAGATACGTAATGTTGGTAAATAATGCTCCAGTAAATCTGTTCAAACAAAACATGGAACTAGTGAATAAAATAATCATCTATTATTCCAGTAAATACTGCAAGGCGATATATCATGCCATGATATCATGCATGGAAAAGACTCTTGTCCAAATTCTTGGACGTAAATTGACTATTGGGATCACCAAAACTTCATTAGCCTACTTCTAGGTGATTTTGGTGGCCCAAACATTTGTTTAGTCAATCAATAATATTAATTCTGAACTAAAATAAATAATTATTCAAACTCAAACCTAATCTCAGCTTTGTTGCATAAACATACATTAAGGAGCAACAGGTTTGATGGTACTAAAGTAGTAATGCCTCTCTGTTTCTATAGATTTTCACTTTTCTACAGAAAATAGCTGAAGACTTCATAAAGCAATAAATATGGAAGAGACCAACATTTCACTTCTGTCCAGTGAATAAATGGAAACCATACATACATACATTTTTCAAAGTGAAAAAATTAAAAATATTTACCATCTGAGACACTTCTACATAAGTATAATTGTTTTTCTGGGGTCTGACTGAAACATAGATGACCCTTCATTAACTTTACACCAATGTAAAATTTTACATCCATTCATTGCATCAGAGTTTGACTCCGTCAAAAGATCACATATAGGTCAGATACCTTGGACAAAATTTAAACACGAATAAAAACAAGTCCTGCATCAGATGCAAACAATCCATGATAGAAATATTATTGATGCACATATTCAAACGGAGAATCAGAAGTTAATTCTTCCTACAATTTTAGAGTCTAGATTTCAAAATTACATATACATTGTAATTTCCAGATCTTTTGGATGTTACCTACTGGTGTTTACTTACCTGTCTATAATCTTTAATCTATTGTTGTTTGTTTCCAAATTCTGAGATTCAAAAATACAACTATTTTCAACAGGGAAGGCATTTTCATTCTGAACAACCACATTTTCCCACCTTTAAACAAAAGTTTGTCAATGTTAGATTGAATATTAATATTTTTGAACAAGAGATTGTCTTCCTTCAAAGAACAATCTTATGGATAGATAGTTCAGTAGTAGGACTTAAATTTTGCAATATTTGAACTTAAACCATATGAGCCAAAGTTAACAATTTTTTCATGAAATGACCTAGTTTTCAAATTTTGAGGCTTTTAAAGAGAGTTCTATATATCACCCAAAAAAGGGGCTAGTCAAACATAGAATATGTGTTATAACAAATTTCCTTAGAATACTCAAGTAGGCCTAATTTAGTTTTTAGACAAATGAATAAGAAAATAAACTCTGTTATACCATTCTGATTGAATATTTCTACGAAGTAATGTTGATGGTGTACCATATTTTACCAATTTCTTTATTTCATTCCCATGTTTCTGAACATCTTCAAAAATATATCCATTTCTTATTAATAAACTTCGAAATTTCTTCACACATATTGCTGCCATTATACAAGAAATTTAACAGAGACTGTACATTAACCTGAAACCAATATTGTATATGACATTAAGGACTTTCATTTCTTTTTAAAAGTTGATATAGAATGGAGAAAGAAACAAAGGTTAATATTAATTGATGATCTAAATAAAAAACAGAAAAGTACCGTAACATCCTAAATCAAAACAATTTCACTGGAAATTATCAGTTAGATGCAAATATAGACCTACAAATATCCTTCAGAATTTTTTCTTTTATAAAGCCCATTACCACAATAATAAAGACATGTTCTGAACATATAAGCTTATTGTTTAAATGCATATAAGTTGTTAAACAGTTAAGTAGGCTGGAAGTGGAAAGTTAGGTGGTTGTAGGCTGAACAGTTAGGGAATGCTGAGTTTGTTAAGGCAAAGAAACTTTACTTTTATCAGTAACAAATGTCAGTAGATTCGCTTGTCCAATGGAAAAGAGAAGTTCTAAGAAAACTAATATCTGTTAAATTTACAGCACATATCATTAGGAAATTCCTACGAACCGGCATCTCAAACTTTGCTCAACCTTTAACACATGTTTGGGATTCCCTTTTACTTCGATTGTCAAGTCTTAATGCAACAACTTATTGTTCGTTAACCGAGAAAAACATTTCATGACGTTAGACCAGAAAATCTAAACCAATCATTGAAAAGTGGCTGTTTGGGGGAATCCCGGAAGTAGAATAATCTGACATTTCATCAACAACAACAACGAAAGAATGAATATTGTATTTTTGTCATTGCCATTTAACTCTTTTTTATAACCAAACTTTGTAGATTGGACTATGAGCTCTTGATGACAATAGAAGGAAAGGCAAAATGCCTGGATTGGTTTTATTCAGAAGACGATGGTCCGTGGGGAGTGATGATTTTGTGTATCCAAGTCTGCTGGAGATATTTCTTAGACTGTCATGGTAGGCCTGGGTGGGGCTTAATATTTCTTTCTGCTTTCTGGAATGTCTTAATTATTCATAAAACCAAGCTGTAAAAATAGTTTCTTGAAAAAATGTTAATTGATTGTTTGAAAAAAATGTAATTTTACTCTGCAGCAAGACTAAGAGGTTTTAGGTCTACCCGCCCTGCATTATGAATGTATGATATTGTTAATGAATTTGTGTAGATTCTAATCATGATAGATAAAATGTTTAATTATATTTTTCAGGTTAATAGCAATATCTATAGTGTATGGTATCAATCATGATAAGTTTACATGTAAATATGCCAAAGACCTTGAGAACTATTTTATTGGGATATTTGTGTTCAATATTGTATCCACTATAATATCTATAATTGTCATGTTGAACAGTATGAAAGGGGCTATATCTGATACATTTAAAAGAAAACATGTTCCATATCTTCTGTATTTGAAATTAATAATCTTATTTCCCGAATGTATCTGGGTTTTGTTGGGAACATATTGGGCATTTAGATTTAGTTATGATTGCCCATATGGTGTGGTGTGGACTGTAAAAGGAACTGTCATATTTTCCTGGGTCGTCGGATTAATTGTGTGTATTCTGATATTTTTGGTCTTCGACCCATTGGGAAAGTATATTCAACAACATCGGCTAGCTAAAAGAACACCAGAAGGCTGTTCAGAATATCAGAGTGTTGCTGCTATTAAAGCCTGGGAAAGAAGGTGAGATATGACCTTTGAACCTCTGAAATTTGTCATTTTTTGTAATTTTACCAGAAAGTTCAATAGTTTAAAAATTGTGCACCAAATTTATTTTGTTAGAGAGGAAAGTTTGAATATTTATCTTCATTCCAATGATAGTAAATGATTCTATTCTTAAAATCATCCTCATTGCATTATTTGCATATCAATTATTAACTAAATTAATTTTTTTTTAGATGTGGCCTTATGTGTTGTTGTATTGCAAATACCCAACAAAATAGAGATGCTTTTACTGAAATCTCAAAACTCATGGCTGATTTTTTCTTGGTAAGTAGTGACAATATTGACATTAAGATATAATTTTTAACAATTGTTGTTATCATAAAGCTTAGACATATTTCCCTTTAAAGATGAAGATATTTATTGAAAAGTAAGTTTCAGATGATTTTTTTTTTCAGGACGTTGATTTGGTGCCAACTGATATAGCTGCAGGATTAATATTGATACAAAAGATTCAAATGAAAGCTGAAAATCAGTTACAAAAAATTGAAGTTGAAGCACCAAGTACAAGTGACCATCCTAATGGTATCACTACTACTACCCCTCCTGCAACTGCCTCTACTATACCTACACGTCAACCCTGGATGACCATCAAACTTATGGCACATTATATGAATTTTGCGTCAGCTAGTTATGGTTGGCCATTGTTTATGTATACAAATTTAGGAACTGGCCTTTGTCGACTGCTGCATAAATCCAGGTAGGTTTAAATATCTTTGATATGAATTAAGAAGTTTTGTCTCTTATCCCATGCATGTCTGATGTGATAATAGGAAAAATTTTCTTATTTCAAGGAGAAATTGCATTTATATTGTTTTTTTTATTATGTATCTTCTTTTATGATCTTTCTATTATCCAATGCCACATCTACTGGATTATTTTTTTTCTCATTAAAGGCAAAAAAGCTTAGTCCTAGTATTTATTTACTCTTTGTTCATACATTTTCTATAATGTCTAAAATCTAAATAGCCTTCGAAAGGATTAAATGTATATCTAGATGTTTCTGTTTTTTTGTTTTTGCTGATGTAGACTATATCTATCATCAATGATCTGAGCAAATTATACTTAATCATGTTCACTCAAATCTTAAACAAATAATGTTATGATTTATCATCGCTTAAATGACAAATTATATATATACATGTATATTATAATTTAAAAAAGTGATATGATGTCCATCTCCGAATTCATCAAAAACAGTAAACAAAACAAGCTTCGAGTTGAGTGTTGATTTGTTGAATAATTTAGTGGCCTTGAACCTGCTATGTAACAATTTCCTCAGATCATGGATCTTAAGTGTCATCACAGAAAAAACATGAAACTGGATCTGCCTTTTATCAGATTACATTCAGAAGTAACATTTGAAATTGATTTTGTTATTGCCCTTTATTTAGAAATTTGCATATACTCTGTCGGGTGGCAATTGTATCAGCTGGTTTTTATACAAATGATTTTAGAACTATCTCTTGGATTCTTCCTTCTTGTAATAATCTTTAAGTGTTAAAGCTAGACCACAATTGGAAGTCTTGGTTGTATCATCTTTTTTTTTTCTTTTTCTTTTTTTAGTTCATTATCATCTTTCCATAGATATGTATGATTTCTTCTTGTTTTTATTTACATTTTATCTTCTCCTGATATAACTTGGAAACTATTTGGTTTATGTTCCTTTATATTCCTGAAAGCAATGGTATATAGGTTGTTTTGTTATTCTTACTTTTTATGAACCCAATTTGCTTCAAACAACTCTGAGAATTGTTAATAAAAATAACAATTTTCAAAGCTCAATGTTGTGCCTAAGCATTGGGCGACTGATGAGACTGTGATATTTTCAGTAAAGATGATTATTTTATTAGATGAAAGACTTAAAGCGATTGAAAAGAGGTTTTTCAAATTTTTTATGTGTATTGGGGACACTGATTTGCATCTGAACCCTTCCAATATTCAATCAAATGTCTGTGGTTCCTGCAATTCCACTAAAACTAAGTGTTTTATGATGTCACTAATCACAAAGGCCTTATGTGATGTCATCAAATGTTTACTTTTAGTTGGAATGAGGAACCACAGACAACGGATTGAAAATTGGAAAGGTGCAAAGTTGATGCTACTAGTGTCCCTGATACACATCAAGGATTTAGAAAAACTGTTTACAATCCATATAAGTCATTTGATATTTTATAAAAACAACTTATTTACCTACGCTCTATGGAAATTTTTTTTTTTAAACATTTCTCCTCAGCCTATGCTTGCGTAATTTCAATTATATATTGTGTTTACAACCACTTTCATCAAAACATAGATTTTATGATAATTTTATTGGTTATTTTAGAATATACTAGTATTCACCAAGGACATATTTAGTTTATGTACAAAGTGAGATGAATCCTATTTATTTTTTCACATTTTACAATTTTTTTAACAAATAATTACTTTGTGGAGGAGGTGTTTTTCTTTTTCTTTACATCATTAACATCACAATTGCCAATTTTGAACTCTAATTACCAATTTATATTCAAAAAGTTCATTTTTCAATGACAAAAATAGGCTTAATCTTTGATTCTATTTTTGGGGTTTTAATATTTTAAGGTGAAGGTAAAAACCATAAATTTTGTTCTTTTTACTTAACTGTTATCACAATTTGAGTAGTTATAACTAATAACTTTAGAAGTGCTTCAACTTTGTTTTGAGAATTTTGTTTTGTAATATAGTAATATTTTAATTTCTGATCTTGGTACTAAAATGATGGTAAATAATGAGCCTCCTATTGTGTTATTTTAAGTAATCTGATTGGTTGTTAAAAGGAATGCAAAGTGAAAATGTTCCCCATTCAGTTTGTAAAATCACCTATCAAGGAGAAGCTGAAGTTTTAACATATTAAAATATGTTTCTACTCTGAATCAATATGCATGATTTCTGTACAGAACAAATAGGTTCGAAAGCAGTAAGGTTTCTACAAATCTATTCTGTTGGAGTGATCTATTGATAATACACTGTGCTTTATTGGTTGGTTGGAGCCAAAATAATTCTAAAATCCCTGAACTGAAGGTCAAAGGTGGATATTATAGCTCATTTTGACTTCCAACTGTAAGGGTTTGAAAGGTGAAGGCATAATCACATTCATATTTGAAAAGAAAAATTGAGAAGTCCCAGATCAGATTGAAATAAAAACAGGGAAGCACATTATCACCAGTTTCCTGAATAAAATTCTTCTTGCCCATTGTATGACAATTTCTATCTTTATAAGCATAATGATAAGCAGAAAAAGTTACAAGTGTCAGAATAATTATATCAAGAATATCTGTAAGAATGTAATATTATTTAGAGACAACTGTATTTTCAGATGTTGTAGTTGTATTAGACAAGAATATAATATAGTACAAGATAATAATTGTAATTGTCATACAGCTGCCATTATGATACAAACTGGTTTAAAGAAAGAAGATTTAATTTATGTTAGCTATCATAACAAGGTTAGTTATCAAATATAGATTTTAGAATTAGTGTGTTATTGTTATCATAAGGTCATAAAATACCAAAATTATTGTATATGTGTGGGATCAGGCACTGCAGAGCCACCAATAGTAGTTTTAGTTCAAGATAAGGGAGCATACATAGGAATTTAATGCATATTCATATAGGTAACCCTGGCCTTGCAGACTGTTTGCTGTTTGTGAAACCTTTAATAAAAGGTTTTGACGTTTGTGAAATCTGTACAGATAGCCTAGCACATACTTAAACATATATACAAACATTTTGGTCACAATTTTTAATCAATAAACAAAATCACAATCTATTTTGCATTAGAATGAAGAAACTATTTTAGTATTTTTGATTATTTAATGATTATGCAGTAGAGAAGTCTAAAGTCTATGTATATTATAATGTTTATATTAACTTCAACCGTATTTCTGCTTTCTTTCTCTTATCGTGTATTGTGTCTTTATTGCAGCTAGCTGAAATTCCATTTTATGTGGCTTTAGATAGAAAAGAAATGAAAGTAGTTGTATCTATAAGAGGAACAATGTCATTAGAGGTAATTTACTTACTTATAAACTTGAGTTGCAAACAATGTTAGACTCAAACTTTAACATCTCTTCCTAGATTTTTTTTTCTGTTTATTTTAATCCATGATCAAATAGTAAACACAAAAATTCCATGGGATGTGCACAATAAATTTGTCCCCACTGAAATCCACAATAGGAACATCATAACTAACAACTAAGAGATTTTGAATATTTTTTTAATCTCATTACTGATTACTTCTTCAACTTGACCCTAAGCTTTTTGCTCATATCAACACACTTTGAGCTCTATTTTTAGTATGATTCACTACCAAGGGACAGCAGTTATGTTCATTGTGGTATTTTAATTGTGTTTCAGGATGCGTTAACAGATCTTTCAGCAGTAGGTGTTAATATTGCTATTCAAGGTGTAGATAATTGTTATGTTCATTGTGGTATTTTTAAATGTGCTAAATATATACAACAGCAATTACTAGAATTACAACTGTTAGAGAAAGCTTTTAATGCCTTTCCTGTAAGTTTTATTTTCTACAATTTTTCTGATCATTGTACTGATTGCAATTTTCTTAAAACTTCATCAGAGCAAAAAAGCCTGCATTCCCAAAAAGAATATACAATTATGATCATGAGCACATAAAACATAAACAAGATGTGTGGTTGGTGCAGCAGATATACAGAACTTGTGAGTTGTTTTTGTGGATTGACTAAATCTCAGTTGGCTAAAGCATTGGCATTTCATTTGTCTGGTTATGTCTAACAAAAACTGGTCATGAGTAATCTATACTGGTGTTCCCCCTGTTTAATGACAATAAAAGAGTCATTTCTGCAGAAGATCAACAGTAAGCAGACTGGTAGATAGAGAATTTGTAGACAAGGTCTATTGATTTTTTTCTTAAATTTCATTCAATGCATTTTGTATGTTATAGGATGCTGATGGTTTAGTTATAACTGGTCATAGTTTAGGTGCTGGAGCAGCTGCTATATTAGCAATGTTATTACGACAAACATATCCCGAATTACGTTGTTATGCTTTTTCTCCACCTGGTGGCTTATTGAGGTAAATCTAAATGTTATATTAATCATATCCATCATCAGGAAGGTTTGAAAGTAAAGGTAACTAGAACAAGAATTTACGAGAATCTTCAGTTTGAAGAATTTCATATATCGTTGCTTTAGAAACAATTTTTTTTGGTAAGTGGAAGCTGTGACAAGTCTTATCCAGTTCTTTTTGATAACTCCTTTCTTAAAATTAAATTCAACAACTTGTAAACATGCCTTTTATTTACTATATTCAGTTTAAATCATTGTTATTAAGACCACACACCATGTTTCATTTATCTAAATATCTTAGTATGAGGCATAGAATTTTAACAATGAGTTTTATTATATTTCAGCCCTACTGCTAGTAAACATGCTCGGGATTATATCTGTTCAGTTATCGTAGGTAAAGATGTTATACCAAGATTAGGTATACCCACTATGACCAAATTAAAAACTCAAATATTAAAAGTTTTAACAGATTGTAAACATCCGAAGGTAAGATTGATGTTTGCTCTGGATCGGTTATTGAAATAGTTTTTTGATTTTGTATATTTGGGGAGATTAAAAGAAAGAAATATAAGTTCAATCTTTGTCTCAGTAGACATTTTCTAACTTTAAAATGGGAGAGTTTCTAGATAGATTGGAGAAATGAAAATGAGCAAATGAGTTGGTGACACTGCCTCCTCAATATATATATACATATATTTTAGATTAGCGGTATTTATGATGTCGTGTGATTGGTGTTTAATAAATTCTCATTATGAGATTAAGCAATTAATTTAATCATCACGTGTAAGCTATCTTTCGTTCAATCATACCTGAATACCATTTATCGTTCAGTTATACTTCAATGTCATCTTTCGTTCAGTCATACCTGAATTCTATTATTGATACAGAACGCATCAAACGTTAGCCCTACGAAGTTACGGCACGGTAATTTATGTTTATAAATTAGCGAATCCTAATTTTAAGGAATGATATTGTTATTATCATGCTATGATTGTGAAATAAAATGAAAATATATAAACAGTCGGGGTTCTTCACGACGTATGTACGCAGGCATTTGACAGGTTTCCTTATAGGAAGGGATATAACTCTAGTTATGGAATGGCATGTTTCAACTATCCGGATTTTCGTTAAACTGCACGATTTTATCGGGAACGAGAATGTGCGGATAAACCAGGCTCCACTGTATAGATCAGAATTGCAGGACAAATATTCATTTTATCCTCATCCCTTTATACCAAATTATTTGTATTTTAGTATAGAATCTATGCTGGAGGATGTGTAAGGTTTTGCTGTGATTGTTTGACTCAACATGATAAAGATGATGTGTCTATAAATAAAGATACAACTGTTCCAGTCGAAGAACCAGTTTCTGATACTGCAGAGGTTTGTTTAATGCTTTTATGTGTTTATTATGATTATTTATATCAGCTTAAACCAGCTTCTATGCCAGTTCAGTTCTAATATTATTATTGACTATTTCAGAAATACAGTCAAATGGGTTAATTAAACATGTATGTCTATCTATTGACACTTTCAACCTTCAAAAATTCCCTGCAATTATATAAACATACATGAAAAAAAATCCAAGAATCCTATATTTGACTTTAATAGAGGATACTCTGATGCTTGCAGACTTTCCTAATTCCCTTATAGCTTTTATCTCTGAATGACAGACCTTATATTATAATACACACATATGACCTAATCCCTAAATGCTTGTTATTTGAACTATAGATAAAATAAATATTATTCATATTTAAGACAGTGACACACAAATAGTATTACCTATCATAATTTGATACTATCAAAATATAGATAAACTAGATCACTTTGATCTATCCGAATGACAAATCAATTAATTAAATTAACATCATATCTGAAGAAAATGTTTTTTGCTTAGTGACTCCACCAATGTTGACTCTAGAATTGAAATTGAAATTGCTTTTTAATATTCACTCTTCCTTGTAATTATGTTCAGTGTGTCACTGTCATTATAATTGACTTTTGCTGCACCATTCCCAAAATATTTGCACTGTTTCTTGAAAAAGGCACACTTTATTTCTTGGCAAACAAAAATGTTTTTTTATGTTCTTAAAATAAAAATTTGAATTTAGATTTCTGGAAACTATGAAATTCACTTTGTGTATTAGTTTCACCTGCAATATTGATATTCATGGCCCAGCATGGAAATAGGTTATCATGCTTTTCTATAATATGCTATGAATTTCTTGTGCTTGCTAGAAGAGACATGTATTATCATATTAGTATTTTTGTTATTGTTTATTTTTGTATTATGTAAATAGATACATCTGTTAAGTGACCAGTTTAAGGTAATGATTGTATATTATTTATGAATGATTTTAGCATGAAAATCTTAGCTTTCTTATACAAAACATAAAATATACTTAACTTTTTAAGGAAATTCCAAGCTTAATTTATACAGACCTATATTTCTCTGTGTGGATATATTTTGTGGGCACTCAAAAGTCGTTGTAAGCAAAACTTGGTATTTGTATACCTATACATAAAATGAAGTTGAAATTTGAAGTTCAGGCCTTTTCAATGATTAAAGCTAATTGTTCTTGTCCCCATATATATATATATATATAGAATTGCAATGAATGCATTTGATCAATATTTTTTTGTTTAAATTTGGTATTTTATGACCAGTAGATACAGAGTTATTACCCTTGTACTAAAATACAAATGAAACTTAAAAAAGTATTGTAGCTACTTAAGTGCTTTAGTACCAATTTCATAAAAAGATATATAGTTATTAGGTTATTTTAGTCTTTGATATCACACACAATGATGACAAACAATTTCTGATGGTGATGATAGAGAAATTAGAACTGAAAATATTGAATGTAGCTTGAAAATATTCTAAATAATGTTCTCTGAATTAAGCTTGGAGATATCCTAAATAATGCTCTTTGAATTAAGCTTGGAGATATCCTAAATAATGCTCTTTGAATTAAGCTTGGAGATATCCTTAAAAATGCTATTTGAATTAAGCTTGGAGATATCCTAAATAAGGCTCTTTGAATTAAACTTGGAGATATCCTTAATAATGCTCTCTAATTAGCATAACTTAACATAAATTATGGTATTCAGTGGTATTTTTTACTGGGGATTGGTAAACCACAGGTAGTCAGAGTTAGTGTGCAGTATTGGGTCAATACATAGAAATATACACCTTCACTTATCTTACAGATATTAGATAAAATTTGTCACATCACATAGATTCAATTAGGCACTGGTTTCACATCAATTGGTCTCAGTGAAGTTTTTTGTGATCAAAAGGACATTATGTATTGCCCAGTCACATGAAAAATGACTTGCATAGAAGGTTATCAGAAGGTAGTTTCTCAAATTTTGCATCTGCCAATTACACTTGGTAAGAATGGTCCATTATATTTACTTTAGTTACTATAGCCAATTGATGTGATGCCATACACATGATTAACTTATATACTTAAATTGAAAAGCAAACTTTGCACCATTCCCTTCTGATTTCTTAATGTAGTTAGGTAAAGAATAAGCTTGTATTTATCAAAATGTTTCAATGCAGTTATGTATGGCTTTTTTGATTTGTGGTCACGAAATTGATTTGGCTGGTCATGGTTGTAAAGTTGGCAGTGGCAGAACAAGCCTCCTGGAACTGGGGGTACAAAAAATGCCCCCTCTATACCCCAACTGGTGCTGCTACTGATTGTTGGAGTCTTGGAATTTTATTACTTTGTGTGTAAATTTTTGTATTATGACTTAAAGATACAAGGGTTTAGTTTGATATGCATGTTGGTGCTTAATATATTAGATGAGTTTGAATTTGAAGATTTTAATGCAACAAGGCTTTTATTGCTGAGATTTTGATCCCATCTGGGCTTTTGGTAGAATTCATTCATTTTACCTGGGCTTTTTATTAGCATTGAGAACTTGGAATTATTACCTTAAGATTTAGATTTAGATAGTAGTCTACTAAAAATTTCAATCTCAACATTGGGTCATATATATTTGCACCATTCTGACTTACCTGATTTGTCTGTGGTTCCTCTTGTCCAGAATGTGAAACAAAGATCTTCTGGAATTACAGTAGCCACAGACTTTTCAATGGACAATTTCATGGTGCAAACAGAAGATACAAATGATACACATACAAACCCATACATTGATGTCCAATTTGCTTGTTTATGTGTGTGATAAGTTGTAAAATTATGAATTCAAAGTGCTGCATTTTGTCAGACTACATGTTGAAAATTAAACATCAGTAATTACAAAAAAAAGACATGCATTTACTGTAAATATTTGCTTAGAAATTGCATAACTTTTTTTTTTTTTTACGATTTTTATTTACAAGGACCCACCCCACTAACACAATAGTCAACCTCAAGTTATTAATTATTTAAAATTTAGAAAAATATATCAAAGAAAATTGTGGAATTTTTGTAAATGGTTTGTGCGGTATATTTCATTGCATGGAATCCATATACAGTATGTAAAGTATGTATTTCGGACATGTGCTTGTGTTATTTGTCACATCATATGATGGAAAATGTTTTGTATTTCAGTTAAGTACAACATATATTTGTTTTGTTATAAATGTATGAAGTAAATATTTTAGAGCTTTGACAATGTGACTTTGATATTTGATATCACTGATATCACAGTAATGAGAAGTAGGAAATAGTATTTGATACGAATGAATTGAAATACATAATACACATAACAAGCGAATAACATATTTTATCTTCAGATTACGCCCTGTCATTACCAAATTTCTAGGCCAAATGTGTTCTACTTACTTGGTAATTTCAGAACAAGGGATGCAATTTACATCACTAGTTATAGTAATGGGCTTCACCTTAGCAGGTGGTCCAGAAAAAACGATAACACTTTTCATTTCAGGATTTTTATTTATTTTTTTTTTGGCTGAAAGTATTGTCCTCTTTGGGCATTAGTTTCTTGACAAGAATTTTAAAAAGGCTGGTATTTCAAAATGGTTCAACCTATTAAACTGTAATTTGGTGAAAAGATGTCTAATCTCCCTAAAAGAAAAATCCTGAAATGAAAAGTGTTTTGCAATATTACTTGTATTATTAATGTGATGTTATTTTGATGTTTTATATTACAGGATTCATTACGTACAGCCTATGTTAATGCTCATAGAATGATAGATAGTGTAGAATGGCCAATGCATCCTCCAGGACAAATTTTACATGTTTATGAGGTTGAAGAAGAAAGGTAAGAGGACTTATGGTATAAAACAGGGTTTCTATTGGAGTTAGCTAAAACAAAGCTCCTTTTTTTCATGTTACAAATTATTAATGCTTCAGAGACCTTACATACTGGAAGAAGGGGGTCAATGAAGCGCAGCAACCTGAAGGAGAAGGGTTTTTAGTATTGCCTAAAACTTATTTCTTCATGTTTTGAATTGCTATAGCTTCACAGACCTTACACACTGGAACAAGGCAGTCAAAGAGGCAACGCCACTTGAACTACAAGGGGTATTGGTATTTGAACGGCTGAAAAATTCTGGCTTCCATTACGCAACGATTTGCATGCATCCAAACATGGTGTGTGCATCGCCAGTTGAGAAACCTTGGTATAAAGGTTCCAAAATAAAATTCCTTTGTGATAGTAATAAGTTAAACCCTGAGTGTAAATGAAATATAACGTCATTTACTCTGAACTCCTGAAGTAAAAGCGTATACATGATCTTAACTTAGTAACGGCTGCTTAGGTACATACTGCGTTAGTGTGTGGCTGGTAAACCGGCAGCTAGGGTTGAAAGGGTTAAATCCTTAAAAAAAGGGTACAGTTCTCTTATGACACTTTCAATACAGTCTATGTTATGTTACATGGGCAAGATAAATCAGAATCCTGTATAACAATTTGAAAAAACCCAAAACTCTGGGTTATAACACCTATAATTGTTCTGATATTATTTTGCAGTAAATGTTGTGGAAGTGAAACGATATATTCTGCAACGTGGGCAGATGTAGATGATTTTAATGAGATATTAATAAGTCCTAGTATGGCTTTCGACCATTTTGCTGAAGTTGTTTCTGATTCACTAGAACAACTGGAAAAACGAAACTTTGAACCAACAACCAAACAAGCAACAACACCACAAGTAGAAACAAATAATACCAGCTTTGCTTAGACGTTTTGTCAATATTTTAGATATTTTCAGATTTTTTATGCTGTAGAATTATGGATGTATATTGTTGCTAATGTCTGTCTGTTTTTAGCATTTGTCACATGTACAGTAAAGGTTTTGAATTGAATTTTGAGCTGATTTTTGAGCTGAATTTAGAGGAATCTTTGATGAACATTTTATATACAATGTAGTTTATCATTTAGATCTCAACTATATGGTTTGGATTTGATGTTTTAACAAATGGTTGAAATGTTGCCATTTAGATTAGAATACATAGAATTTTGTTTTCTTAAAACAATGATTTTAGCCATTGAAATATTGCTGAAAAAATGTTGTAGTTAAGAAATTTATCTGTTGTAATTGTTTATCTGTTGATCTATTTCAGGGTAATTTTCTCAACGCATTTATCTTGATTTTTGCAAATTGTTAAATTGTTAATTGCAATACATGTACATGGCATTTGATAGGATAATATGCATTTTGTTGAACTTTTACAGATCTTTTTTTGTAAATGATCTTATATCCAGTTTTGTTTATTGAGTATATTTTTTTATATAGATATACAATATATTACTGTTAATGTTAAATAACTGTAGTATAAAAAATACTGGGGCCAGCACTCTAAATAGTGACTCAGTTTAACCTTACATCTGACAGAATATGAGAGAAATTATGATTTAAGGCAATGTTTAAGCAATTGTTGGAATTAGAATCTGATCCATTGCAGGATTATGTCAAGTTTAGGTCACTTTGGGGGTCAAAATCCATCTAGTTAATAGTTTCTAACAGTTGATCTAATTTCGATGTAAGCGCTTTCTTCATATTGACTGTTTAAGATGCTTTGAGTCTGAATTGCTAGTCAACAAAAGTCTATCTGAGGTCTCAGCAAGATTCAAAGGTAACCAATTAAAATTCCCACCTTCTGACTTTTACACTGTCAGTCTTCATATGTTAACAGTAGTATTAAACTTACTTGGCTCTTGGCTTCTAATTTCAGATATTCTGTTGCAGTAATCAGATACTTTGACTTATGTTAAGGTAGTTCAGATACAAACCTTTAATATGGAAATTCAGATACCTTAGTTAAGTATTCCATTTATAGATCATGGTATTTTAGAAATAGTATATATCTGAAACAGCATTGTCTATGGTATTTAAGATATTTACTATGAACCATTGAAGGTACTTTAAATATAATATACCACAACATACCCAAACAATATATTAAGATAAGCATTCCTTCACAGGATAATTTCAGATATTCTATAAAAACTCCATAATAATTTCAATAATGCATCGCAAATTCAAACTTGGGTCTTGAGAAAATATTAAGGACAATGTCAACAGCAATAATCATGTCTGTAGTAAAATGTATTCCATTAGTTGACAAAAGTTTTTTTTTTTATTAAAGTGAAGTGTTAATGCTGTAATTGTAGATACTATTTTCTTACTGAAGTATGTATTCTTTACTATCTCAGATATTTTTAATAGAATCGAATCTTTTCTATAGATATTTCTATATTTACATCTTATAATTAACAAATATTGTTATTTACATCAATTTATCATTGTTAATTTTTCATTTTTTTGTCTTTTTTTTTGCTGTATTTGATATATTCATCTAATCATTCTCCTATGTAATACTAATATAAATAACTATAAAACTTTGGCATTAATTTTATAATGCTTCATGGTATATTATTTACTGCGCAAAATTGATTTACATTCGAGGTGGTATGATTCATTTCTTTTTACTTTAGTTAAAATTGCACCATTATAAAATAAAACATGAAATGTGGATGTATATTGACGTCACCCATGTCCGTCCGTTCACTTTAGAGGACTTTGATGAAACTTGGTGTGTTTATTATCAACCAAATATTTAGTAAGAGTTATTGCCCTTGTTCTTGAAAACGCGTTCAATTTTTAGCTCGTAAATAATCTAAGAGGGACAAATCTTGACTGATTTTGGCGAAAATTGCAAAAATTGTGTCTTATCAGCATTGGATGAAAATATTTTATATGAGTTAGTGCCCTTGTTCTTGATAACAATTTAAATTTTTAGCATTGTAACAGTAAAGGGCACGATTCTTTCCGGATTTTGACAAAACTTGGCAATATTGTTCAGCATTACCCGAAAATGTTCTTAAAAAGTGTAAGACCGAAGGTTGAATATGTCATACGGGTGATAGCTACTGTAGGCCTACTGTCAAATACTTTTATTCAAAATCAAAGCTGTCTGTTGGTGTGTCTGGCAAGCAATCTTATACCTTTAAAATGATTTTCTTTTTTGTCTTCCCATTAGATTGTTTAAGAATTTTGTTATTTTATTTTCCCTCTCTCTATGAATGTCCTGTTTATTTACACATGTTTTTGTTTATTTTTATATATCATTTTTTTGTTTTTGATGATTTGATCGACTGTGATTTGTTGTAATAGAGCTATTTTTATATATTATTAGCTTCATTCTATTAAAAATTATAAACTTCTTTGGTATAGAACAAACCACAGTTTTACATGTTTACATTTAGATCTGATTTTTGTGTTGAGAACGAATGATTTTCAAAAGATTTATTATTTATGCTGGGGGCAACATTCACCAGACACATTAACTTGAACATGCACGTATGCTAAGTTTTAAAATTTCCTTCGATTGGAAAACAAATATGCTTGTGTACCTCTAGCTTAAGATTACATACATTGTTATTGTAAAAGCATGCTGTGAGGAATTTACTGGTAGAATCTCAGCTTAATGTCCTGATATACATTTTAATAATATTGAAAATTTTATAGATTTTGTGTTTCTTTACATATTTTATATCAAGGAAATGTATTTCTTAGGAAATATCTTTATGTGCAACAAATATGATTATATATTTCTATGGTTAAGTGGAACTTTCTGCAAATTTTAACTCTTTGCTGTTTATTTTGGCTAATCCTATATTACACTTTCAGTATTTCTATTTTTAATTTTGTTGCATTTATTTTCTGTGGGCTGCTTTGCTTATTCATTAGTAAAATGTCATGGTTTTAGTTGAGTTTTATAGACAATGAATATTACTTTTAGAAAGTGAAACCATTGCTTAAAAATCGAATTTACTATTCGGTTTGTTTAAATGTTTTTTAGCGGTTTTTTTTGTTTGCTTAAATTTATTGCAAAAGTTACATGTTGCTACCTTTCTGATCATGCATTATATATTTTGATTTCCAAAGATTTTAATTAATTTGAATTTTTATATTTATTAGTTTTCCCAAACATTCCCAAATATTGAGTTTTATTAAAAAAATTGCTGAATTTTCTGGTCACATTTAATCATATTAAAACTTAACGGCTTTAATCTGATTTGCTATAAATTATTGTGCTAGACTACCAAAATATTTTTTTTTGATTATAGAGGATGGAAAAAGGTATTGTATAACAGGAATATGAGAAGACAAAAATTAGAATTGTTTATGTTTAGTACTGTATAGTAAGGACTTTTGTTTTATCAAAGAATTATGTTTCAAATGGCCTTATTTCTCAACAGTGTTATTATGTTTGCCAAACAAATGATTAATATCAGCCTTGGAATCCCAGCACTGTTGGTTTATTGCCACATACTGCTTTTTTGATTCATAACTCGTAAAAGTAAAATTTAATGTGTTGAAATTGTAATGTCAAAGGTCTCATGAAAACATGTTCATTAAGCATAATAATAGCCTTTTTTTATCAATTTTGTGTTAACCTTAGAGTAATTCCCTTGCATGGGATTTGTTTGTTGAAATATAACCTACAAGAGATTTTGTATATGTTTGCTTTACATGTTTGTTAATGGTTTACATACATAGTTATTTGGTTTTTTAAAAATATTAAATTATGTTTAGTTTTCCAATAAAATCTTTAACAATTCAAAATATTTGATTGTCAAACACCCCTTTTCAGCATCTTACAATGTTTATTCCATAATTTTTATAATCACTGGTGCCTCTCAGAATCATTTGGTGGGATTTAGTAGGGGGGCCACAGAATTGTCATTTTGGCATCACTAGGCATTGGGAGTTAAATTTGTGAATGGTGGGCCTTTAAAAAGGAGAGTTATTATTTCTTTATAGTGAACAGAAACTCAACTTTTGGTTAAATAAAAACAACACATTTCATTTTGTTTTACTTCTAAAATATAGATAACATGTTAAAGGCTAAACAACAAATTTTTGGCATTTTTCAAAATGAATATCCACATAATGTGCACATCATCAACGTTCAGATCGACACCACCATTTCTTAAATGATAGTAATCAATGGTACATAGAGAAGTTACTCCTGGTAATTTGTCATCTTCATAATATCTCAACTCAGCTGATATGCTGTCTCAATACAACTTCTGACAACAGTAATTAAATAGGTTCATATTTTGGTTAAATTTGGACCAGAAGCTCATTTCATTTCCGAATAGACCTCTATACTTGTGAGCAAAAATAACTATCCATAGATGAGGCATGGTGATGGTGGGTTTTTATATATATATATATTTTACATTACCTTTCTTAGAGCAGAGCATGCTTAACCTGGAGTTCATTCAAAATAATTGCTATAAACCCGAACCATACAATAAAGGTATAACATTAAAATAACTTACCCAATATTGTAACTGTAACTACAATAATAACTTAATGTTGTTCTTTACTTTCATTGAAGTATTTGAACTCTGAAAGAAAATAAGTTAAAATTTACCTCACAACTCGTCTCATAACAGTTGATTTTTAAAACTGATATTTCCATTTACATCTGGCTAAAAAAGTTATATTTATTTCATTAATTCTTTAGAAAAATACTCAAAACAGTAAAGACAATGAACAAAAACAAAACATCAAATGAATAAAATCTTACCAGATAAAGCTTGAGATGATATGAATAAAAATTTTCATCCAAGAAAATTGTCTTGTTATTCTGCTGACATGACAGCAAGGTGAAGTGATCCCTGGGATGTCTACAATCACAATGAATATACAGTACAGGTGAAAAGGGGTTTCTATCCTAATTTCAGCTCACCCCCACAAATCTCCTAATGGGAAACTGCCTGTAATCATATAGCCCAAAATAATATTCCATCATGTTTGTCAATGAAACCTTAATAGGTTTAGGGAAAGGTTTTTAACAATTTTAAATGTCTGGACTATCATCCTTTAAGTTAAAACTGAATTCTATTAAGTGGTTAAGCAAATATTTAGAAGACCAAATCCCTTTAAGTTCAATCAAATGAGCAAAAAATGACTTTGAAACTTCACTATAGTTTATTGTAATTAGCATATTAAAAATATAAAATACTTGTAAAATAAAATACTAGTTTATAGGAAGACAAATTCTGGAATGAACTAACTAATAGAAAATGTATATTATAAAATTGGAAACTTGAATTGGTGTATATCAATTACATTGAATACAATACTTCACAATATTGTCGAGCACCAAGGTTAGCATTAGATGCAAAAATGACAAAAAATCCATAACATCTAACAAAAGGCATTAGTATTAAAAATAGAAAAGATAGTTTGCCAGGCAAGGTAACATACGCCCACTGGCAGTTGTCATAGATGATAACTAAATCTTTATTGACCAAAAATATATTAAAGATCTTCATAATACCGGTAATACCAAATTTCTCATTGAAGATCTTCATTATGCATTTGTAGTTCAAATATATATATTTAAAGATATATGAAGATCTCATCAATTTAGGATCAGTTATGCTGGGGTTTTCCACAATTCTTTTTAAATCAATAGCAATAACCCAAAAGCATTGAATTATCACACAATATATACCTGCATACCAAGTTTCATCAAGACCCTGTAAAAACTGTAGCCCCCATCGTGTCAAATTTGATGTATTTTTTTTAAGGGCAATGATTCAAAAACCATTCATCGAACAATCGTCAAATTCAAATTTGACCGCAGTCTTATCAATACCAATGCTCACACCAAGTTTCATCAATATCCATAGAAAATTGTGGCTTCCATTGTGCCCACAAGCAAATTTTGACACGATTTTACTTAGTCAAGGGCAATTACTCGTGAGTATCAAACTTGTCCAAGATCTCATCAATATAAATGATCACACTAAATTTCATTCAAATCAGATGAAAACTGTAGTCTCTATCACGTTCACAAGGCAATTTTGACGCGTTTTGGCTAAGTCAAGGGTAATAACTCAAAAACCGTTCATCGAAAAATCGTGAATACCAACCTTGTCCAAGATCTCATCAATATAAATGATCACACCAAATTTCATTCAAATCAGATGAAAACTGTAGTCTCTATCGCGTTCACAAGCCAATTGTGGACAGACGGACCAACTGACATGGGTGATGACAATATACGTCCACATTATAATGTGGGCGTATAAAAAAAACAAATGAGCATTCACGACAAACACAAATAGACTCAGGATATTTAAATAATTTGTATGTGATTCAATACATTAAATAACATAACATAGCATGTTTTGAACCCCATAGAACACAGACAGGTATCAAAGATTCTAAATACCTGATTTATTCTATAAACTTAAATATTCTTTTAAAAATAGATAGATAAGATTCCATTTATTGCAGATGTATAACAAAATATGGACAAGTTGAGATTCTTTAAATACACAGAAAACACCAAACCATATATTCAAATTTAGTCCAAGAAGTTTAGTATCCATGATCTGAAGAAATTCTATTTTAAATCATGTGCAGGTAAATTGATAGCTTCATATAAATTCATCATAGATTATGCCAAGCTATTGAAATTCTGCTTAGCATTATGCGTTAGACAAAATTTTTATACAACAGAACATATGATTGGTTGAGAATTTTACTCTCATAGAACAACGATATCCCAAGATCATGAATGGAATATAAAGTTACCCACAGCAACAATACATGTAACATACATCAATCATTGAATATTAAACAGATGACACCAAACCTACTTCTATGACTCTACAAATGGGAAGGCAAGTTTCCAATTTAACAAAAATTCAGAGTATGGTACGAAGTAAAAAATCTGAAGTAGTCCATCTGAAAAAGAGCCCTTGACTTGGCTTTGATTACATTAGTATAATGTCACTAGTATAGCTTGGACAATAAACGAGAGAGTAACAGCTTTCTAATACTTAACTATTAGGCCTAAAATTCTTAAAACAGTTTTTCTGTATGAACTCTGCCAATTGGATAAATATGATTACATCATTTTAATAACCATTATTATTCTTTATGAGCCAGTAAATTTAATATCTATCTGAGAATTATCTATGTAAAAAAACAACTTAACAATAACTAAATATATCTTGAGAAATATCAAAATTAAGCATTAATTCATAACTAGGGACCCTTTACACATGATATACCTACAAGAACAAGTATGTATACAATAAAAACATATTTATAAACATTTATTATACATTCTGGATGAGTAAATCTATCCTATTTCAAGATATAAAACAGCGGATTAATAATAGAAGCACATATTATGTTCTTTATTTCTTCCTGGATGGACTTGATTCTAATATTCTATATAAGCTTGACATAATCATGTTCATCACTATCATGAGATCTTCTATACTGCAATATAGAATGTGATAACAGATGATCCTTACTGGACTTTATTGTGTACAATTTATTTATTAATTATTCACTTACCTTTGTCGCTTTGCATAATATGCTCCAGATAGCCTCTGAAACATTAGATACAGGCTTCAAAATTGTCAATTACTCGTACACATTTTGGGGGGTTTTGATGATAATAATTACTTGTTTGTCTCTTCTGAAACATACTGATAAATAAGATAATCACCTTTTGCATTTTATTCACATCAAACAATATTGTTTCTAATTTTGTAGGGTAAATACGTTCTTGATTTTTTCCCAATACAAAAGTATGATAGGCTTCTTTCATCTACAACATATGCATATAGAAATATTGTATAATTTGTGTTATGAGTAATATTATAGTAGAGTAGATGTGACTTGTAAACGGCAAGTATGGCCTGTCTAACCATTTACTTTTTCTGCTCCTGAGAATAAGTAAAAGGAGTTGTGGTTTATTGACCCTTTTCTTGTCAGTGCCACTACTAGATATAGGGTTAAGATTACTAAAAATGTAACCTGATTTAGACACTTTCAAGATGGTAAGAGTTAATATATATATATTATGAATATTGAAATAATTGGATTACCTGGAAGGCACATCTATCAAATGGCATTCTACCTGCAGCTGTTCCTAATCCAGGACATAGCACACTTTTTATCTTCTCATCAAGAGTTTTATTAAAATTTCCAACTAGAACAAAATAAATAACAAGTGGATGCCTAGCAAGATACACTCAGTTTCCTGACAAATTTTCAGTATATCAAGGTGGTCGCCAATCTCTGTCAAATTATACCAAAAATTTAATTTGTCAAAGATATTGTTGATTTAATCAAACACACAAAATTTCACAAAATTCTGACATAAACTGTCCCCTCTATCACGTTCACAAACCATTTAACTGTATCATTCCAATCAGATAAAAACTCTTGTCTCTATTGTGTACACAAACTTTGAAGCGTCAAGGGCCATAATTCAAAATCCATTCATATCAAATAAGAAATTGACCAAGATGCCATCAATATAAATGATCACACTAAATTTCATCAAAATCAGATGAAAACTGTAGTGTCTATAGTGTTCCCAAATAAATTTTAAAGCCTTTTAACTAAGTCAAGGGGAATAACTCTTCAAATTCAATCTTGACCAAGATTTCATCATTATACATAATAATACATTTAATTAAATTGGATGAAAACTGTAAACTCTATTGTGTTAAGTCAAGGTCAATAACTCAAAAACTATTCATCAAAAAATCGTCAAATTCGAACTTGACAAAGATCTCTTCCATATAAATGCAGACAGAAAATTTCATTAAAATCCGATAAAAACTGTAGCCTCTATTGTGTTACATAATCATTTGATATTCATCTTCCTTATCATTTCAGTCAACCTATGTATCTATGGGTAAAGATAATCCGGAATAGATCAATGTCAATAGGTAAGACCAAGGACTAGCTGGTAGAAAGATCTTAAGATCTTCAAGAAGTGTATAGAGTAATATTATAATATCTTGAGTAAGACAAACCTGCAAGAACAACAGCTCTGAAGGCAAGATACGAGTTCACAGTATCATCTACAGCTTGAGGTGCTCTCATAACTGTTGCCGAGATTAAATATTTAATAGGTTTATTTTCATTAGCACCGTTCCAGTTCATAGATTCTTGTTCAGCACCACCTTCAAATGTTGGTATAATAACAGCAGATCCCTATAAATATTATCTATTATTAATATGATATTATTCTGAAGACATACAAGTTGTTAAGAAATTGAAATCAGATTTCTGCTTTGAATATACTGCAGTTAGTTGGAATTATTGGGGTTGTAAAATATTTCCTTGCTTTTTTGTGTGTATCTGAGCCATTTATGGCCTCAAAATCAACTTTGTGTGAACCTGTGGAGGAAAGAATGAGACTTTATATATTTCTTTAAAAAAATCTTACCACTAAGATTTCTCCATGATGTTGTTCTCTAATTAATTTTTGTAGACGTTTCTGCCTAAAATCAATCATAAATAATCAAACAAATAATTAAAGAAAAAAATATATTGTGTAGAGAATAAAGATGACAAATAATGTCAATAAATTCTAATGGTAGCACTAGTTAAAAAAATAGTTCTATCAAAAAATTTAATTTAAATGAGTTAATTTTGTAAGTAGCTAACCAATGAGAAATGATTTTTTGCTTAAAGATATTCAGTATGATCAACTTACAGTTGCCATCCAAAATGCAAGCTATAAGCCTTATTAACACCTCCATCCATAAAACCAAAACTGTTGCCTGATGCTACCTGAAGGAACAAATTGACTTGTATTAAAAAAAAAACTCTACATAGATAACACATTTAAATTATTTGGGTAACAGATGTCTCTCATGTGATATCCGCTGTCTTTCATTTGATTTCTGATGTCTTTGATATACAACATATTATTTAATTGTAATACAAATACTTACAATAGCATCTGCTGAAGGTGCTCCATGAAATATATCACCATGAGAAACCTAAAATTTTACATACAATGACAAGTAAAAGAACTTATAATTTGACAATACAATTTACTTACAATAAATGACCACTACATATTGAAGACTAGAATATTGAGTAAAATGAAATATATTTCACGTTTTCAAAATTCATTTTGGCGTGACTTTTCAAACATCACATTCTTTTAACTGATCAGATCTAAAGACACAAGGAGAGAGAAATGTTGAAGTCAGACAGGATTTTGGGTTTCTTTTAGTCGTTGGATTGTTAGTAAACACACAAAATTTTATAAATGACCTCTTCCAATCATACATTTACAGTTGAATATTGACAGAAAGTAAGCACATGTGGAAAGTTCAGGGGAATCTTCGGGTGTCAAAAAGAATACTGGCACACTTTATTCAGGCCTGTTAGGCAATCACACCAATCATTCTACCCTGACAATAGTTTCCCTACCTGCACCTTTCCTGATTTTATGTCATTTTCAAAGCAAGCTTGCCATTCTTTAACTAATCTCATATTTCTATCTCTAAATTTGTACACAACTTCCTGATTAGTTATGAAATCAATATTTTCATATAGCGGTATAACAGGATTTTCATATATATGATCATCAGACAGGTCTTTATCACACTCTACATTATCGTCACCTTGCATGGCTGTTCACTTGGTTTTATCGTATTCAATACAATATTCTGAAAAGTATGAAATCAAGGTGTAAGCTAATATTATATAACATGGAAAAAAACCAGGATACAGGGGAATGTATGAGGTGGGGCCAAAATGAGAGTCTTTCTGAGTCGAGGTCCGAAGACCCTTGAGGCTGAGGCTCTGGGGGCTGCCCGAGGTTGAAGCCAACCGATTTCAGATGGCATGACATAAATTTTGAACATTTCATTCTAACTTATGAATCCAAGTATAATACAAAGACTATCTTAGACAATTTTCATAGGAAACGTTTACTTGCATATCAGAGAAGAAACAGATATTTTAAACCTAACCTTGAATATAAAAAGATCAGGTAATATAGAGTTTTGGGACCTGTTACCTGTGTGAAACTGTCAATAATTAAAAAGGTATAGAGGGTGCATCATCTGCCCCATTTTTATTTAAATATTTCAAATCTATCTGTCCCTATTATAAGTTTGTTCCAATGTCCAAAAAGATAATCATGCAAAGTTTTATAAAAATTGGAGAATATTTATGGGGTCCACCTGGCATCTAAAATTGTGGTGTATCATGACAAAATACAGAATAGTGTGTACATATTCTCTTTTCTGGACAACTCATTTTAAAAACAAACTTTCAAATAAGAATCATCAAATGAACAAGAGGAGAATAAGGTACACACATAATTTAGTCACTGTCTTTTAATGGATTGAATAACTTTCTATCTTTCTATCCTGTTCCACGACTTGGACGTTCAAGTAGTGTACATTTCTTGCAGAAAGTTTGACTTCTCACTCAGCGCAGTCATTAATAACATTCAGAGCCTGGATGTTGCTCAGTGATACCTGGTAGGCAACATACTAAGACCAGTAATCACAATACTTAACGAAAGATGGATCAAGCTGTTTTAACTGAAATATGCAAGCTTGCATCACATCTGGTTCTGGGCCCAATAGTGCCTACTCGACCTGTTATTAGGTGCCTATAATAAGCCATGCAGCTAAAGATCATGCCATAGGCATAGGGCATAGACTGCAGAACTACAGGTCATCCACCACTGGGAATAGAGCAGTATTAGAAAGTTCGTATATTCCCTCAAAACAACCAGTTTTTACACTTCACGCATAGTACAACATATCAACACCATTAATGTTATCACCTGGTTATGTTTATTAATGACAGATCGATTAGCAAGTAGTTAAAATAAACACTAGATTATGTTCAGCCATCAAAAATTTGATTTGCTGTCTTATTTCATTTCCCCGTTTTTTTCATTGGCTGTAATACCAATTGACTTCCTATACAGACTTTAGTCTAGGCTGGACTGGGCGTTTCTGAGTACACTCGCTGTGAGGTCTTTAATTCGTATGTTAATCACTGTATATGCAAGGGTCGAGTCTGGAAAGATTCCGAAAGGCAGTAGCAGTGTGCAAGATAAACTGCAAAACTGTTGAAAGAGGGACATGTCTGGAGAATTTGAACCTTATATTTGCAAATTTGTCAATACATAGACAGAAAAATCTGTCCAGCATTATAACAGCATGTGATTATAGGCACCCTTATGTCCATATTATGATATTTTTAACCCTGGTACTACTGCTGTGACTTTTACCCAACCTGTGTATCTTCATTCAATCAAATTTGTAAGTTGATCAGACCCTTTCATAGGTTGACAGCCAAAAATTAATTACATATCACAATACAACACTTTGTTTATCATGTGTGGAAAAACACCTAAAATAGTGAAATATATGTAAATTTGAACCTTGAGGTGGACCACAAAGGCATCAACAGAATTCCAAACGGTTTTAAGATTTATTATTAATTAGGCATTGGAACACTTGAAGACTAGGGACAAGACATTTGTGACATAAAGGGGCAGATGATGCACCCTAAGGCCTACCTATTATAAGGTCAATGACAATGATGACTCACATGCATGTACAAACTTGATCTTGGCCCACCCAACTGATAGATATTCATAGGCCTAAAGTTACAGTAGACCTTGTTGTGGTAAAAGTTTCAGAATAATGGTACAAATATCAGTCCTATCAAACCAACAGATGCTACCATTGCTTTATGGTTAAAACTTCTCAATGACAACCATAACCAGAGGATAGATCTGAAATGATCTTTGAAGGCCAATTTTACCATAAATAATAATATAGTCTGTAAAATGTGAAAACGTGTTTATTCTTATACAATATATCTGAGCTGTCAAAGTTTATTTTAGTCACATAATACATGCATTTACATATTAATAGAACGAAATATGACATGTATAGGTTTGCTTATGGTCTGTGTTATCGAGATAAATTTAAGGCTGCGTTCGACAGGTCTGGGTCCAGTACCTAGAGTATTTATCAGCAAGTCGATGTGGTGAAACTACTATTCCTTAATAAGCTTCAAAGTAGTAAACTCATCTCATGCCATCGTATTGGCCAGTTTATTGACAATATATTGAATGAAGTTGCACTTTGGCCTGACAGACTCGGTCCCTTAGAAAATATGCCAAGCTTCAGGGTTAGATTTAGCCATCTTTCTTGTGAAGCATGACAGGTGCTAGGAATGTTTTCGATTTATTTCTTCATGGTAATGTTATTTTGTTGGCCCAGATCAGTGGATAATAATGTTGATGCGACTGGGATAGTTATGTCGGATGATGATCGTAGAAGCGGATCTGACTTTGTGAACTATATACCAGGTGATGAACAGCGTTTTAATGAGCCAACTTAGATGACCATGGCACAAAGTGCAAGCCCAACTCAATTCATGAGCAAAGACGGAGAGAAATGGAGGAAGGGCACGCTGAGAAACCTACAGAGAATATTTGTAGACATATCTTCTGCTACATACTAGTCCTTGGGGCATTTCTTTCCTGTGGAGTAAAAAGGACTTTGTTAAAATATGAAATTGCAAGGGCGTAAGCATAAATTACTTGGAACCACACTTGCCATTTTTGTACAAAACTACACACAAAACGGGAACTATTTCAAATTCTAATCATAATTTCTCACATTATAGTTCCCATGCGAAACCAAATAAAATATTCATTTTAAAAGTGCCAACTCGCCCACCGGACACTTACCCACCAAGGTTACCTACTAAGGTTTTTTTTACCAATATATAAGGAGAGGTAAAAGGGCTACAGGCAACTTATTTTTTTTACAACCTCACAGCCCTCAACCTACTAGCAACCTTCCTGTGACTTTTAAACACGACAAACCGACAACCAAGTTAATGAAAATTTATTTTGAAAGAAATTTTTTGAATTTAGCACTTTAGACAAAAGAATGCAATGGGCGAAAAGACTGTCTACATCTCAATGTCCTGCTTGATGACAAGAAACGACAGGTGAAACCGAAACCGACTATATTGGCTTAGAAATGAGTCAGCTGAATGATAAAACTTTGGGCGTAACATACAGTGGTGTAACCTATTTTCGTGCATATAAGGATTCAACACCGAATTTCGTCAAAGTTTAAAAAAAAAAGATTTTCCTCAGATGTTCTACAAAATAATTAAATTTGGTTTGTTTCGATTTTCTTTATGAATCCTTCACTTTGACCCATATTTCATGAGCAACCGACTCGGCAACGGCGGCAAAATGCGTCACCTATTTTCGTGTATGTTTGATCTATAAGTCGAGAAAAATACGTTGTATGGATACCCAGTGGTATAATTAGCTTCTCTTAGTATTTATCTTTAATATCAATTCATTATAACTCATGACAATTCCTTCAAAGAACGATTTTAGAAAAATGTAGCGTGATTTATTGCTGAAAGTCACTGAAACAACATATGAATATGGCCCACTTTGTGTTCCATAGAAATTTTCTGGTGACACAGAATCTGCTAGTTGATCATTCTTCATTCGTTAGACTACATTCTAGCAGACGACACTTGGAATTCCGATTACCGCTTGGGATTATAAGGAAATTCGGCCGATAAAAAATGGTGACGTTTGGTAATAACTGAAATCAGCCATTTTGTATTTGTCAAAGTATACATTAATACATTTTCCCTTGCTTGAAACTACTAGCTGACATTGTACAGAAAACCCATGTTTATCAAAACAAGCAAATGCGGAGGTCACACGAGGTCGCACATGTAAATTATTAATCATTTCCGGAAATGCACGAAAAATAGGTTAGCACGAAATTAGGTTACTTGACTGTACTTTTATAAAGGAACTTGCCCTTGAGATTTGTCTCCTGAGCAATGAGGTAGGCTACCAGTTACAGGGCCAACCCACATCATCCATAAGAGGAAAGGTGATGAAGAATGAAGGTTGTTGAATTTATGAGTGGAAATATTAGATGGTGTTTTAAGATGCAGCTGAAAGACTCTTCCATGCAAGTAAAAAATATATATAGTTCAACTTCGATATGATGTCTATTTCCCAGGTAAAGACTATGATGCTGGAGAATTACAACAATAGAGGACCTTTGGGGTAAACGGCACAAATAGGCTATTCAAGTTCTTTGAGGTAGTTCAACAAGACCCGTTGACCCGTCGCGATGGCCCGACGTCAAGTTATTTTGTGTTTACTATAGATAAACACAAACTGCAATGGCAATTCATTTCTGATCAGCTGCTTTTATTTGAGAAATTCTTGAGAGAGAATTATATCTATAAGATTACATGTAATGTCTAAATCGTGATATGGGCTCTTAAAATCAGGCTTTTTGGAGAAAATTTTGATTGATGTGTTCTAAATACAGCCAGGTGGACAAAAAGATTACTCATTCAGTTCATTTGTATTCTTCCTTACTGATGTACCTCATGTTATCAAGAACTTAAGTCCCGCCCTTGTGAATTTAAATGAATTTACTTTAAGGCTTGCCCCCTAAACTTACTTAATCTACAGTCATGACATTTTGAAAATATGATGGTTGAAAATGCGTTAAATTTCTTCAATCATATTCTGCTAGCTGTGGTTTAATATTAGGTCCAAAAGAAGGTTATGATAAATCTTCTCACAACAGCTTGTTCATTGATCAATTCAATACATTGTTCAACTTGACTTCGGGCCATCTTGTCATAGCTTTAAAAGGAAAAAAGGATTTTTTGTTATGAAATCCTTGGTATTTCTAGACTAGGAATAGGGCCTAATATATTATGGTTTTAGTGGTGGTAGGCCTAACTGTTAAGACTGGTGTTGTTCTTTCGAAATATACATTAATACATTTTACCTTGCTTGAAACTACTGGATTCATTCTACTAGCTGAAATTGTGGAAATAACCCATGTTTATTACACATGTAAATTATTATTCATTACCGAAGTTGCATGAAAAATATGTTAGCACGAAATTAGGTTACTTGACAGTATTCTTTACTTTGACCTTTGGTGAATTAGTCATCATTAGGCTATCATAGCCTAGCCTGGAAAGTGTAAATATCTTAATTTAATTGAAAGACCAGGAAAATAATGTGTGAATGCTCAATATACACAAAAATTAGTAAAAACAAAAAATACTCGAGAGATCAATTTGTATAGTTCAAGGGAGGTAACTAATAACAAAAATTTTAAAAAAGTTACAGAATTAACAGTTGATATTACTTAATACGAAAATGAGTCAAAAATTTGATTTTTGTAGACAAGTCAGAGAGCGTTAAAATTACATGATCAAGCCGCGAAAATGAATGCCATTTTGATCTAATAAATAGCAGGTAAAACTTCATTATCCGGATAGGTACAGTCAAGTAATCTAATTTCGTGGAAACCTATTATTCGTGGATTTCCGGAAAGGATTAATAATTTACATGTGCGACCTCGCGTGACCTCCGCATTTGCTTGTTTTGTTAAACATGGATTTTCTGTACAATATCAGCTAGTGGAATAAATCTAGAAGTTTCAAGCAAGGTAAAATGTATTAATTTATACTTTGACAAATACAATGGCGGATTTCAGTTATTACCAAACGTCACCATTTTTTATCGGCCGAATTTCCTTATAATCCCAAGCGGTAATCGGAAATCCAAGTGTCGTCTGCTATATTGTAGTCCAAGGAATGAAGTCACGTGATCAACTAGCGGATTCCGTGTCAGCAGAAAATTTCTATGGAACACAAAGTGGTCCATATTCTTAATATTCCTATTCTAAATAGGTGACGCATTCTGACGCCGTTGCCGAGTTGGTTGCTCATGAAATATGGGTCAAAGTGAAGGATTCATAAAAAAAAATCGAAATAAACCAATTTTAATTATTTTGTAGAATATCTGAGGAAACATCTAAGACATAAAAATTTTTTTTTGTTTTTTTAATTTTGACGAAATTCGGTGTTGAATCCTTATATCCACGAAAATAGGTTACACCACTGTAGTAAGTGTCGTCTGCAATGTTTGCATGGCAGATCGATTACTTCCGGTTGCTTTGGGATTCTGGACCAATGGCTATCCAGTAGCCTTGTTGTAGTGACCTTCAATGGATACATACAGCATCAGAGATAAATACATCTGTTAGCTTTAAAACTTATCTCTATGGTTTATTTTAGCTTGGCACCAAGACATACACTATTAGTTTAAGTCAGAAATATTGTTTATAGTGGCCATTTAACCACTAAATATGAGCTTGCACTGTTTAAAAGCATTAAAGGTAGGTATGGGGTAGGCCTCTGGTCTTACTTTTAGTTTTACTTTAGTTTTAGTCTCTCCTTTTGTACTGTTTTCACATAGGCCTAACACTAAATAAACTATGTAAATGTAATAATGCACCATGCAATATCCAGTGCCAATAAATGTCAGATACAACATCCAATGAGGAAACTAACATGGTGCTGCCTAGGCTTCATCTCATTTGGGGCCTCTAATCAGATGCTACGCTATGTCTAAATAATGTGCAGATTCCTTCTCTTCTACACAAGATAAGATGAAAAAAAGAAGGTTTAATGACTATTACGTGTAGGACTATGTTAATGATAGCTGGTAGTTATCAACCAAAGCAAGTAGCCTATACACCTATTGATGTATACTATTTATGAACTTGATTTGATATTGCATTGCAGACAAATTCTACTTCAAGTCTTAGATTTGTGAGGGAGATGTCACATCACTCAAGGTTGCAGGTAGAAAATTATTTCTAACTTATAATTTTTAGCAAATATATGTCTAGTTCTACTAAGAATATCACTATCAGTTTGGAAATATTTCTTCATCCATTGCTCTATTTTCGTAAGTCATCTTCGATATTTTAGTTTATTTCTACTTTTTAGGATGTTGTGATAGTAAGCTTTGCCCGAACTCCAATTGGTTCGTTTTTAAGCAGCTTAGCAGAAGTACCAGCTACAAGATTAGGTTCTATAGCTATCAAAGAGGCAGTTTCAAGAGCAGGTATATAGGCCTTCAGTTATTAGAATTTAGAATACAATTTATTTATTAGAGGTCAGAATTTATTGAGCTAAACTACTTGTAGAAAATATTTTAGTGCAGTGATGCCAATCTATCACTGCTTTCATCATCTCAGCATTCTTATTGGAGAATCTACACTGGCATTATTTTGTTGGTATAATTATTCTTATTGTCTATCAAATATTGTTACATAGGACATGAAAAATAACATAATGTTTTGTACAGGTATCAACAAAGATGAAGTTAAAGAAGTTTATATGGGTAATGTTGTACAAGCTTGTGAGGGGCAGGCTCCATGCAGACAAGCTACATTAGGGGCAGGTAGATATTCAATTCCTAACTCAATGTTAGTATGTTTCTGTAGGGGTCCATGACTGTATCTTAAAATTGCAGAGTATTGTTGCTGTCCTAGCAATATTTCCTTCATTGCACACTGCCAATATATAGTCCAATCTCAAGGAGAAAAGTAGAAGGTAAAGCTCCATTTCACTTCATTTCTGAATTTAGTGTTTTAAATAGCCTTAGAAGATTCAAATTTTTTGAATAGGTTTAGCTGAATCAACACCAACAACAACAATCAATAAAGTCTGTGCGTCTGGTATGAAAGCTGTCATGTTGGCAGCACAAAATATCATGTGTGGTCATCAGGTAGTTAATCTTTCTTCAATATTGTAAAGCAAACGGAAATGTTCACCATCTGTTTGACCAATTTAGTTTTGGCAATGGGAATTCTATAGCTTAGTTTATCAGTAATAGAGTTCACAGCATACCATCAAATTTGAGCCTTCTTATCTAAAGTATGAATTATATTTAAGGACATCATGGTAGCAGGAGGAATGGAAAGTATGTCTAATGCACCCTATTATATGAAAAGAGGGAATACAGCCTATGGTGGTGTCAAACTTTTTGTAAGTATATCTAGTATAGGAAAATAAACTTATTTGAAATTTGTATTTACGTAAAAGTGGTCTCTAATAAATGGTTAAAAGGTAGTTGTAAAAATGGGTTTAAGTATGTGTTAGATTTAAGTGAATCGAGTTTTTTCTATTTTTATACACCCACAAGTAAGTATGGGCATATATTGTGGTTGTCCCAGTCGGTCGGTCGGTCATATGATTTTCTTGAGAGATATCGCATAAAACTCTGATATCGTGTTTGGTTTTTTTTTTCACTTTTTTGGCTCGTCCTCACTACAATTCTCTATTGACTCTTTTGATCTTTTATATGCGTGTCAATATCATTATGCAGATGTGCACTATAGAATTTGGTGATGATCCGATAATTTTACTGTGACATTTATTGAAAAGGATCAACACAATAAACCAAGTAAAATTTATCTTAAATTTAACAATGCTAAAGTTGCTGTCTGCCTCCTAATGTAGAACCAGGTAGTTTCAATAGAGAGATATGAAAGCTAAATGTGATATTGCATCAAACTATATAGAGTTTGTTTTACAGTTCACATTTAGTTCTTTATCAAGCTGCTGGTGGGCGTATTCGCTTGCAAGACTTGCTGGAAGCTTATGTTTAATATTTTAGTTGATATAGTATTATTAAGTCTTTCTTTATTATTTTAGGACAGTATAGTACATGATGGATTAACGGATGCTTATAATCATATACATATGGTGAGTCTTTAGGTTTCAGGTCTCAGTGTCTATCAATAGGCTGCACAAACTCACATACATAAATTGGAATATCTTCACAATGTCAAGCTATTTCAAACTCAATCCATTACCTTGACTTCATAAGACACTTTTCTTGCATGATGGAAGTTTCAAATGAAGCATTTCTTCAATTGTTCTGTTTAAACAAAGCATTTAATTGGCTATATATTCAACTCTTCAACACATGGGAGATAAATTGTATCTCAATGTGTTTTATTTGTGGAGTGTTCAGTGACCTAATGAGAGCTTAATGGGTTTTTTGTCTCAAATTATAGGGTAATTGTGCAGAAAAAACAGCTAAAATGTGTGACATAACAAGAGAACAACAGGATGAATATGCTATTAAAAGTTATACACTAAGCCAACAGGCAGCAAAACAAGGCATATTTACACCAGAAATTGTACCAGTTGAAATTCCTAAGAAAAAAGGTAGGAGACTAATGGCAGAATATCTAGTAATTTCTCTCTTTAAATAGCTCAATGCTGGCAACAACAGACTTGTTGGTAGACAGAATCCTTCAAGAACACAGTATGTTTTTAATGTATGATTATTTTGAAGGTGATCCCGTCAAAATAACAGAAGATGAAGAATACAAAAAAGTTAATTTTGAAAAATTTAAATCGTTGCGTCCAGTGTTTCAAAAAGAAGGAGGTATGTATGGTTTTAAGTTACAAAAGATGCTTTTTTATTAGCATTTCTTTGAAGATATGTATTCATAGACATATTATAGATAAATTGTTTAAAATATTTTGACAATCATAAAGCAATAAAGAGCATTGAAACACCACTTTGCTGACAAAATTCACCTCATTGGACACTACCTGGCCACTCAGGAGCTGAAATGTACAATATAAGTTTTATGTGTAAATTTTCAATTCCCTTTGTATCTTTGAAATTGGAATTTTTATCATATTATGAATCCTATAATATGATTACTACCTATTACTTTTGGTATATTGCTAATAGGAACAGTAACAGCTGCTAATGCTAGTACTTTGAATGATGGTGCAGCTGCTATGATATTAATGTCTGCTAGTGCTGCTGAAAGATTAAAGGTTAAACCACTGGCTAGAATATTAGGTGGGTGCAATATTTTGTTATTAAAATCCAGAAAGATATAAAGCCAGTTTTTTAACTGAAAGGTCAAATGCAGGATAATTGTCCAATCAGATGTCTTAAATCTTATCGCAAAAGTGTCTGCGGTCACATTGTCTAAAATTGTATACCTTAAATTTACCGTTTACAAATTTGTCTAGGGCAGGTATCACACAAAAATTAGTTTTACAATTTTTTGGATAAGAAAGAACAACAGTGTCCTTTTGGTGAAAAAAATAAAAGGTTACATACTTTAAATTGTAATGTTTCTGGCTATACGCTTCTGACAGATCCTTATTAACAATGATTCAAATTATATTGTTTGTCTTTGTAATTAACACTGTCACTTTAATAAAGTTAAAATTATTTGATAAAATGATTTATTGTAGGATTTGCTGATGCTGCGGTAGCTCCTATAGACTTTCCTATAGCTCCTACTGAAGCTATTCCAAAGGTTTGTACATGTATGTTGTATATTCCAACTTTCCACCCAATTTAAGAATTGTAGTGTTCCATTTAGACAGCTGACCTGGTATGATTTGATGTTGTCATAATATGCAAAAGAGACTATTATACATTAATTTCACCCAATTGCAGAAAGGAAGAGAGCAAGAAACTCCCACCTAACTTAGGTTCCCGAGGATCTGATCTTGACCAAATCTCTTGACAGTGATCTTTCCCAGACTATCCATACTCATTGTTACAGCTCAACTGGAATAATGAGGAAAGATGATATTACCAGACTGAACCAGGATCAGAACCAACCTCTGTTTGTTTTTTCGTTGTAACCAATTGACATGTGAAGTTGTAAATGCTCTACTCACTGTTCTATTATATTCCTGCTCTGAATGCAAACATTTGAAGTATTGATGGACATGGGTTACAAAGTTAATACTGTGTCTGTAGAAGGTCTAATGAATTTGTCTCAATTCATAACCCTAATTTTACAATGTTTTCACTAGGTATTGAAATCAACTGGTGTAAAGAAAGAAGATATAGCGATGTGGGAGATTAATGAAGCATTTAGTGTAGTATCTCTAGCTAATATTAAAATCCTAGATATTGATAGTAATAAAGTTAATATACATGGTGGAGCTGTTAGTATTGGTCATCCTATAGGGTAAATATATTAACATCTTATAATGTTAGAAATTCTACTGGAATAGGTTGAGAAAGATTCGTCAAATTAGGGAGGTGGAACAAAATCGGACTCTTTTATTGTCTCGTCACTTTTTTCCACTTCAGCCCTTCAAAATTGACATTGTCAGGAGATATGAGATAATGCAATTATTATGTTTTTAACATAGGTACGTGTAAGATATTTATTCATAGATGAAAATTATGTTACATAACATTGTAGTTTCCTGATTCATTTATTTCTTTGACAATTTCAGAATGTCTGGTGCCAGAATAACCGGACATATGGCATTAAACCTAAAACCAGGAGAGAAAGGAATGGCAGGTATCTGTAATGGTGGAGGAGGAGCTTCTGCTATTTTAATAGAAAAACTGTGAAAATAATGTGATATGATAGTGCTATTATTCAGTTATACATTAAACTTTAATCCTGGTGAATCTCATTGTAGTAAAGGAAAGATATAATTATGTACATACGGGTATGGTTTTGAGTCCGATTAGTTTAGAGGTCATCAACACACTTGAGATTGTACCCCAAATCAAATTGTTTTCAAAAATGTTCCCTCATATGAATTTTGTGCATCGAGTGAAACTTTTTTTTCCGATATCAATATACATGTATTTGAAAAATGATTATGCATTTGACATAAAGAACAATGTATGTGTAAAGATGTAAATAAATATATTTATAAAATTCAAGTTCTTATCCATAGTTATTTTGTAGTGGAACATCTAATGGTGATTTCGATTTTGATAGAACACAATCAACTCATTTAATTAACCAAATTTATTCCCCATGATTTGATAAAGAACATTACTGATCCATCTTCAAAATGTTTGTTTGAAATTCTACAGTTTAATATGCTCTAAGAACATAAAGTGACAAATAGACCTAGTGATTACAAGTTGCTTATGATTGTGAATATTGAAAATGGGCATGAGTTCTGAGCCCTACTCAGATGCATTCGAAACTTATAACTGCTGTTCTTAATTGTTGTTATTCTCTATCCATCTTGTTCTGTAAGACAAGAATGTGCTTTAAAAGCCTGTTCAAGGTTTTGAACCTTTCTGTATGTGTTAAATACACAATAAAATGAAATGAAATGCAGGGCTATATAACTCCATTAAATACACAATAAAGACAAAAGTAAATTGTTTGTATATTATTTTGATTGTTTACTGTACAAATCATGTAAAGTATATTAACAAATAAAATGTACATTTGATATACAAATAAAATAACATGGAATTACATGTTATAGTATAAAATTAGGAAAATATCATAAGGAAAGTTGTGATCTGTTCAATAGGACAGGAAAATATATTGAAACAGGAACAGGTGATTACTCTGATTTTCTTTTCAAGGCAAACTTAGATCGAAAATCACTATAGCATATAATATGTGGTTTTGTATATTCATTTTGACAATTTTTTCTGAAAGAAAACTCTTTCGAATCCCTTTAATCTTTGAGAATATTAAGCTAAAATGTTTGACTTATTTTCAATATCAATGAAATTCCTGTCATATTAAAATTGATTTGATATTTATAAAATAAACATATATTTTTGCATGATAATTTGATAAAACCACTCTATCCTGTCAAACCTACTTCGAAAAGCGAAAACTCGAAAACAGTAGAAGATAAGTAAAGAGCATAAAATAACCATGATAAAAGCATGTAATAATGATAAAAGCTATTTGCTTTTTCGTGAAATATATGTTTATCTTTGCTTATCCAATCAGAGAAAAGCACGAAAATATTCTTATGATTCATTAACTATAATAATATGGCCATGAAGCAAACTTATAATGGGTTAACAAAATATTTCTTTAAAGGGCTCTTGATATGTTTGGAATGTAACTTTCATAGTACTATTATACTAATCAAAACAAATTTTGATTAAAAATAGTCACTGACTAGTCATTATTAACATAATCAGACATTTTACATTACAACTGTAATGACACAAACACTAAACACACATTATTATAACTTAGTAACACAATTATAACAAAACTTAACAATAAAAACACATAACTTCACACATCACTGCCATGTACAGGATCATAATTTAGTGACACATATAATTTATTATAGCTCATTTCTTCAGTCATTTCACTATCGTTGTATTGGTTTGTTTTACGCATTTTTTCAGCTGCCTCTAATAAACGTCTCTGGTACCAGGCAGTATTTTGTTGATTGGAACTGACCGTTTGAGTACCGTTGAGTTTAGGAAAGTCTATAGGATTAGTAGGGAGACAGGGAGAGTTACTATTACTAGGTGTACCTATGGATAAACTACGGTCAGCACTAAATGACGATGATGGCGTACAACTGACCGATTGGTTACCTTGTCCTAAACCTTTACTACTATAGCCTGAATCAGGATTACTACTACAAGTAGAGTCTTCTTTATTAGTATAGCTAGGATTATATACGATCTGACCAGGTGAACTATGATCAAATGGTATAAAACTAGTCGGTGTATGGACAGGAGATTTCATTCCATTTAACATCACTTCCCTATTATTAGATGCTTTATTATAGTCTGATGAAGTGATGTTAGGTGATTTGGCGTATGGCTCGGATCTGTATGGTGGGGGATTAGCCAATGGTTTTACACTACTATATAATGCTTGTCTTTGTGAGTCTGATTTTTGATTGAAATGATTCACGTTTTCTTGTGATCTGTGATTTTCCACTGGTCGATGATTTTCATAAGGTCTATAAATTTCTGTTGGCCTTTGGTTTTCCACTGGTCTGCGACTTTCAGAAATTAAAGGTTTGATTTCTGGTTTTGGCAGAATCGGTCTTGAATCAATCTTATTTCCTAAATCAACACTGCTCATTTGTCTCCGAACATCACTAACACTAGCATAAGGAATATCTGGTTTGAATGTTTCCAATTTCCGATATTGTCCAGAATTGGTTGTATTTCCTAATCTATAATCATTGTCTAATGGAGTTGGTGTTTTATTATTGGCAACTCTATCTAGAAATGTCACACTCTTTCCTTTAGGAGATTTAAGATTAGAACTATCTGGATTATCCATTGTTCGTTCCATTGATTTACTATGTTGAATTCCTGAAGAATATACATCATCCACTTCATCTCCATGTAACAGATCAGAAGATTTTGCCAGTCTGTAGTTAGGGGTTAAAGGTCGTGAACTATAAGCACTAGTTTGATAGTTTCTATTTTGATCATAATATTTGGACACACATGTGGATGAATTATAAATACCGGTGCCACTTGTTACAGGACCTAGGGAGGAATCCCGAGCACCGGTAGTAATACTATTTTGATTTGGGACCCCCCCTTCTCCTAAATTTGAATGCCTATGTTGGCCTTCTGATTGATTTCTAGAAATACTTCTGTATAAGTGTGAGTCAAATGGACTAGATTGACGTGGTCTGACTGTATTGGGCCTATCACTACTGTCCACAGGACGTTGCCATTGTTTGTGATTAGGATTTTGTTTTGGAATAGCACCTTCACGTCGAACACCCCCTGGATGATTAAAATCACGAAAAAGTGTATTGTGATTTTCCTCATATTTAGGTGAAGCACCATCTGCCTTCCTATCCATATGGTTTTTATTGGGTTGATGAATTTGAGCCTGAATAACATGGTTGTTGTTTTTCTCTTTCTGAGCACCATCACCACGTGACGGAACACTCCAGCCTCTAATTTGACGCATGGCTGCTTGACGACTCTCATAGAAATCACGTTTACGATTTTTTCCACTACAATCTGATAATGTTTCATCCGATCGTGATTTAAACAGACGTCCATTTGCAGTATTATGAAAATCAAAGAGTATATTTCGTGAAGGTAGTGCTGAATCATCATGATGATGATCTAAACAGTGTCCATAACCTGCCATTTTATCGTCTAACCATGTTTGTATTTGTTGATTATATTGAGAGAGAACATTTTTGTTTCCACTCCATTCCTCCTCAATCCTTTCTGTTATTCTATTTTCACAAGCCCGTCTCTCTTGTTCTAGTCTCTCTCTTGTTAACTGATCTATAGCATGAACTTGTTGTGATGTACGGTGATCTAAATGGTCTATACGCTGACTTAATATGTGATGCGATGCATCAATATGTTCATATATATTGCCAGTGGTCTTCTGGATGTCATTTTCTATTTTCTTGATGGTTGGACCACAATTACAAGCTGGACTATAACCAATTGGACCCTGAAATATCAATTTGTTTAGAATAAAAAATCAAATTAGTCTTTATCTTATTAACAAGTTTTTAATTAGCAATCAAATTATACTCATTTACCTTCAAAGGTTTCTTATGATAAAAACAGAGATTCCTATATTAAAAAGTTTATGTTGGTATACTAGTTATACCACAGACAAATAATAATTTGTTACCTGCTTAATATTGCCAGCTAAATCTCTATAATATTGAACACCATGTTTGGGTACATATTGACTGAAGAAACCTTCTACTTTATTTCTAGGATCACTCTGATATGTTGGTCTTTCAACACCAGCTGGAATCTGTTTACTCTTCTCTTTTTCTTTATCTTTATCCTGTTGAGATACAATACAATCATCTAAACACTGTTCCTTGTGGACAATATACACACACATATATCAAATTGATACAATAATTTGGCGTAAATATATTGAGACATAGGTCTATTTGAGCAGGAGAACAGAATGAGCTGAGAAAAATATTTGATCCAGATTATGCAAGGATCATGAAATGGATTTTCTTCTTCTTTTTGTTTTGCAAAATGAAATTTCTCAAAAGATATGTATATTTTTTTAGACTGATTCAAGGTCCATATCCACCTCCAAAACATTATTCTATCAAACCCTGTTTCATGAAACCAATTAAATATCACACTTACTTTTTTCTTTTTCTTAAAAAAGAAAAATCTTTTTTTCTCTTCATTTTTTTCAGGTTTTAAGGGTGGTTGATCTTCGGGAACTACAACAGGACCATCTATAATATCTATTTCATCTTTAAACGCTACTTGAGCTAATGATGGTAATTCACGTTCTCTACTACCATGTCTTTCTTTACTTCCATGACGAGGTGTTTTAGGCTGAAAATACATAGGGTTACATTATTCACTATTCCAAACAAGGGCATAGCGTAATCCAAGTTTAAATGAGAAAAGAGTATCTCTGAGTGTATACCCATTAGAATACAAATCTGGTCTACAACAGAATACTTTAATTTGGAATTAAACACAATTAGGAGCTCTGCCAAAGCAATATCAGTACTAACTACTATTGTTTCTGCTACCGTACTTACCCTGGAGAAAGATGTTATAATAAGAATAATTTCAGGATGTTCCTTTCTTCTGGCCACATCTACAGCTGTTTCATTTTGCTACAAAAAAAT